GACTGGGAATTTAAAACAACTATGTGATATCCAATGGCAGGAGATGGATTTCCCAGCTCAAGAAGAGAGGGAATTCACTCTTCTTCTGCCTTTTTTGAGGTTCTATTTGGGCCCTCAATGGAGTGAATGATGCCAACCAACATTATTGAGGGTGGATCTTCTTTATTCAGTCTACTGATTCAGATGCTAATCTCTCCTGAAGACACCCCCTCACAATCACACTCATAAATAATGTTTTACAAGATATCTGGACACCCCTTAGCCCAGTCAAGCTGACACAAATTAACTAAATTAATGACACAAAATTAACTACCACAAATCTACTCCTTGTCAACTTGATACCTATATGCATCTCCTTAAACATACTTAATCTCCAAGTAAAGACAATAACAAGGTCATAATTCTGCCCAATATAAAACAACTATCCTAGGTACAACTGAAAATGCACTAATCCATTCCCCAGAAGAGGAGATAAAGTCCTTCAATGATGTTTACTCTTCTGATATCCTATCACTTGAAAACTATGATGTAAAGTTAATGATAATTAAATACTGATATAAAGTCAATACATCTTATGATACATAGTAAAGGAATAAAAGAGAAAAGAAAACAAAGATATTTGCTTAATATGTGTATATACATATACAAATGTATTCCTAACAAAATAAGAAGGAAATACTTATGACAGTTACAGTTCTCATTTCTATAAGTGGTCACAGCTGGTATTTATAACTACCTTCTTCTACTACCCATTCTGTATTCCCTTTGCCTTCAATAAGCACCTCAGCTGGTAATTGTTCTTTACCTGGTGGGCTAACCCAAACCTTCATTCCTGAAGGTTCTGGGCCGTTACTAATCTTGACTGGATTGGGTTGTAGTTTTCCATTGACCTTAATCACAGAACATAGTAATACTAAGAGAAGCCCTAAAGGATAACCTATGTTCTAGACATACTCTTCCTTACCTCCACTGTGGAGTAGTAGTCCAATTTCCCCTTAGTAGTCAGGATCAGTCCCCCCTGCTAGCACAGTAACTCCTTTCCTTGTCTGTTGATTCAGAGGCATGAGGAGCCCAAAGTGGCCAGGTGACAGTCTTAACTTCCAGTTCAATGGAATTATTGTTGTGTCTCCTGGTGGAAATATTCCTCCATCTGGAACTAAGACCTCTAGGCCAGCAGAATATAGTGTTGTGGGAACAGAAAGCAAAAATTTTGCTAGTGGGTCACTACAGGTAATAATGAGTGGTGCTACTCACATTTCCATCCCTTGATTCCTACACCCATGAATCCTGACTATTGGAGAAACAGCACCATATACTGGGTGCTGATTCAGAGTATATTCAGCCTTCAAGAGAACCTTGACCCAGCCATGCAAAGTGCTGTCACCTAACTGGCACTGTAACTGAGTCTTCAAGAGGCCATTCCACTGTTGTATCAATCCAGTTGCTTTGGGGAGGTGGGGAACATGTAAGACCAGTGAATTTCATAAGCATGGGCCCACTGCCACACTTCTTTGCCTGCAAAGTGAATTCCTTGATTACAAGCAATGCTGTATGGAATACCATGATGGTGGATAAGGCATTCTGTAAGTCCATGGATGGTAGTTTTGACAGAAGCATTGAGTGCAGGGAAGGCAAATCTGTGTCCAGAGTAGGTATCTATTCCTGTAAGGACAAAATGCTGTCCCTTCCATGATGGAAGTGGTCCGATGTAATCAACCTGCTACCAGGTAGATGGCTGATCCCCTAGGGAATGGTGCCATATTGGTAGCTCAGTGTTTATCCCTGTTGCTGGCAGATTGGGCACTCAGAGGTGGCCATTACCAGGTTGGCCTTGGTAAGTAGCAGTCCACGGTGTTGAGCTCACTCCTGGTACCAAAATCTGTATTAGTCAGTGTTCCCTGGAGAAACATAACCAATAGGATACATAGATAGATAGATATAAGAGGAGATTCATTATAGAAATTGGCTCACGTGGTTATGGAGGACAGGAAGGACCATGATCTACCATCTGCAAGCTGAAGAACCATGAAAGCTGGTGGTATAATTTAGTCTGAGTCCAAGGCCTGAGAACAAGGGGAACCAATGGTGTAAGTCCCAGTCCAAAGCCAAAGGCCTGAGAACTGGAGGATGAGGGGGCCACTGGTGTTAAGTCTCGGAGTCATAAGGCCCAATTACCAGGAGCTCCATTGTCTGAGGGCGGGAGAAGATGAATTTCCAAGCTCAAGAAGAGAGAGAGAGGATTCACCATTCCTTCACCTTTTTTTTCATTCTATTCAGGCCCTGGACAGATTGGATGATTCCTGCCCATGTTAGTGAGAGCAGATATTCTTTACTCAGTCTACTGATTCAAATGCTAATCTCTTCCAGAAACACCTTCACAGACACACCCAGAAATTATGTTTTACCAGCTATCTGGGCATCCCTTAGCCCAGTCAAGTTGACAAATAAAATTAACCATCACAAGTGTATATATGGGGTCAGGGTTATATGGAAAATCTCTGTACCTTCTACTCAATTTGGCTGTGATTGTAAAACTGCTTAAAAAATAAAGTCTATTGGGGCCAGCCCAGTGGCATAGTGGTTAAGATCATGCACTCTGCTTTGGCAGCCCGGGATTCTCTGGTTTGGATCCTGGGCATGGACCTATGCACCACTTATCAAGCCATGCTGTGGCCGGTGTCCCATATATAAAGTAGAGGAAGATGGGCATGGATGTTAGCTCAGGGCCAATCTTCCTCAGCAAAAGAGGAGGATTGGTGGTGGATGTTAGCACAGGGCTAATCTTCCTCAAAATAAAATAAAATAAAGTCTATTAAAAACAACAACAACAGAGCAAAAACATTAACATCCAAACACCATGGGGGATGTAGATTCTACAGTTTAAGTCTAGGCAATTTACTGGAAAAAACAAAACCAAACCCCACAAAAATATATCAGAATCTGTGGTTGCTCCTATATATTATCTAAAACATTTTCAACAAAAAAGAGTTTTCAACAAAAAAGAGACAAAAATACAAAGAAACAAGAACCTATGGCTTATACTCAAAAAAAAAGAGCAGTCAATAGAAATTGACTCTAAGTGGGCTAGATGTTGGATTTAGCAAGACTTCAAAGCAGTTATCATAAACATGTTCAAAGAATTAAAGCAAACTGTTCAAAGAATTAAAATATGTTGAAAATTACTTAGCAAATAGGAAGTCTCAATAGCAAAATATAAACTATTATTAAAAACCAGCTAAGTGGAAATTTTAGAGTTGTAAAATATAGTAACTGAATGAAAAGCTTATTAATGATCTCAACATCAGATATGAGATGGCAAAAAAGAAAAGAGAATGAAATAGCTCAAAGGTAGGTCACTAGAAATGATCCAACCCAAAGAACAGAGAGAAGAGATACTGAAGAAAGATGAACAGAGCATGAGAGATCTGTGGGACAATAGCACGTCTACCCATGCTCATGTAATGGGAGCTCCAGGAGAGGAGACAGAATGAGACAGAAAATTATCTAAAGAAATAATGGCCCAAACTCCCTAAATTTGATGAAAATGTTATCTGCAGATCACGAAATAATGCCAAGGAAGGTAAGCACAAAGAGAACCACAGCTAGACACACAATCAAACTGCTGAATGACAAAGAGAAAATCTTAAAAGCAGCAGTGGAAAAACAACTCGGTACAATATGAATAATGGCTGATTTTTCATCAGAATAATGGAAGCTAGAAGGTGATGGAATAATATATTCAAAAAGTATTGAAATAAAAATTCAATGAAGAATAATATATCCAGCAAAACTATACTTCAAAAATGAAGGTGAGATAAAGACATTTCCTGATAAACAAAACCAGAGAGGATTTGTGGGTAGCATTCTTACCCTAAAGAAATACTAAAGGAAGCCCTTAGGCTGAAAGAAAATGACAGCAGATGGTAACTCGAATCCACAGAAAGGAATGAAGAGAAGTGGAACTGATAAGTATGTGGATAAATATAATAGACTATATACACATACACAGATATTCATCACTTGTGAATGGGTGAACAGAATGTGGTATATACATAAAATAGCAAATTCCTCAGCAATAAAAAGGAGTGAAGTACTGATTCATGAAACAATATGGATGAACCCCCAAAACAGTATGCTACATGAAAGAATCTAGCCTCAAAAGATAACATATTGTATGAATCCGTTTATGTGAAATTTCTAGAAAAGTCAAATACAGAGAGAAAGAAAGAAGATCAGAGATTGCTTAAGATGGGGGATGAGAGCAGGCATTGACTGCAACCAGCCATGAAGAGACATTGTGGGGATGATGGAAATGTTCTAACTGGATTTTGATCATGATTACATAACTATATATGAATTTGCTAAAACTTCACCAAGTTGTACAATGACAATGGGTGAATGTGAATAAATTATACCTTAATACGGTGGTAAAAAAAAAAAAAAATGTGAACAGTGCCTGTTCCTGAGTGATGTGTATGGATAACAATTTTCATTTTATTTTTGCTTCTCTGCATTTTGCAGATTGATTACATGTTTGGAATAAAAGACAACATTAAAAGGAAATTTTTAAACAATAACAACTAAATATTTGAAATAGTTTTAAAACCAAAACTCACACTCTCTGCACCGCCCCCCCCCAACACACATACACCAAACGGACCCCAGTAAACAGCAATCTCTATCAGACTTTGATTTAGCTAAAAATATAGTTTTGCACTGCACCTGGGAGTTTAATATGGTGGTTATTTTGAGTCTTAGGATAAGACTGTTCAGGCATAAACTTTCTTTTCCTACAGAAAAGCTATGCATTTCCTCAAGAGAATAAAATCAGAACACATCAAACCATATCTCAGACGTTTTGAGGCTCCTTATGAGACCTGAGATGAGGACAGGCATGGACTTTAAGCATGAAAATGTCTAATTAATTGAGCCAAAGCTGAAATTAGACGCTTGTAAAGGTTAATAGCTTGCCTTCAATAATTGTTTCTCTCTTTTTGTAGATGCTGTTGAAATATATTTTATAAAAAGTATCAGTGCATATCAAACAACATTGGGCCCAGAGGATTGTGAAACACTGACGACAATTGAAGAATTTTGCAAATGGCTTGTCCAAAATGGGGAAAAACGGGTAAATATGATCAATTCAAAAACATAATTGTTGAGCCAGCCCTGCTGGCCTAATGGTTAAAGTTTGGCGCTCTCAGGGCCGGGCCAGCCCTGTGGTTGAGTGGTTAAGTTTGCGTGCTCCGCTTTGGCGATCCGGCATTTTGCTGGTTCGGATCCTGGGCACAAACATGGCACTGATCGTCAGGCCACGCTGAGGCGGCGTCCCACATGCCAGAACTAGAAGAACCCACAACTAAAATATACAACTATGTACTGGGGGGACTTGGGGAGAAAAAGCAGAAAAAAAAAAAAGAGAAGATTGGCAACAGTGGTTAGCTCAGGTGCCAATCTTTAAAAAAAAAAAGAACACCTCAGGATCAATGGCTTCACTGGTGAACTCTGCCAAATATTTAAAGAAGAATTAGCTCTAATCCTCCTCAAATTCTTCCAAAAAATTGGAGAGGAAGAAACAGTTCCAAACTCATTTCATGAGGCCAGCATTACCTGGACACCAAAGCTAGAAAAAGACTACAAGGAAACTACAAAGCAATATCCCTGATGAATATAGATGCAAAAATTCTCAACAAAATATTAGCAAACTGAATTCAACAGTGCATTAAAAGGATCATACACCATGACCGAGTGGGGTTTATCCCTAGGATGCAAGAATGGTTCAACTTATGAAAAACAATCAATGTGATACACTATATTAACAGAATGAAGGATAAAAATCACATGATCATTGCAAAGATGCAGAAAAAGCATTTGAAAAAATTCAATACCTTTTCATGATAAAAACACTTAACAAACTAAGAATAATAAAGGCTGTATATGAAAAACCCACAGCTAGCATCAGACTCAGTGGTGACAAACTGAAAGCTTTTTCTCTGAGATCAAGAACCAGACAGGGGTGCCTACTCTTGCCACTTCTATTCAACATAGTACTGGAAGTACTAGCCAGAGCAATTAGGCCAGAAAAAGAGAGAAAAGGCATCCAAATTGGAAAGGAAGAAGTAAAATTGCTTCTGTTTGCAGATTACATGATCTTACATGTAGAAAACCCTACATGTTCCCCAAAAATCTGTTAGAACTAATGAACATGTAGAAAACCCTACAAGATTCCCCCTAAATCTGTTAGAACTAATGAACAAATTCAGCCAAATTGCGGGATACCAAATCAACATACAAAAAGCAGTTGCATTTGTGTACACTAACAATGAACAATCTGAAAAGGAAATTAAGAAAACACTTCCATTTATAATATCATCAAAAAGAGTAAAATACTTAAGAATAAACTTAACCAAGGAGGCAAAAGACTTGTGCACTGAAAAAATAAACAGGAAAGTAATCTAATTATATGCACATTTTCGTACTCTGAAAAACCCAAAGATAATATAGAGCCTTGAGATTCCTGAATCATTGGCAATGTTTCCTGAAAAGCAGCAGCAATTGACATCTTTGTTTGTTCTGACATGCCACATGTGAAGGATGATGGTTACGTGTTCAACCCAGTTCCAGAGAAATGCTCTGTTTATAAATGTCAACAGAGAGAATACAGGCAGAAGGTGACGTGCAGTTCTTGATGATGCCAGCAATAACTCCATTGCTTCACTCCCTCTAAAGAAAGCACATTGGGAAGTCAAATCACTATAAGCAATGTTGTTCTATGGATAACTTCCAATGTATCCCTAACTTTTGTCTAAATCATATGCTGTATAGTAAGTAGTTAAGAGTGAGAACTGGGCTAAAAGACAAGCAGCCTGGACTTTTAACAAATGTCAGTGTTGGGGGCCAGCCCCACGGCATAGTGGTTAAATTTGGCAAACTCCGCTTCAGTGGCCCAGGTTCGTGGGTTCGGATCCTGGGAGCGAGCTGACACTGCTTGTCAGCCATGTCATGGCAGTGACCCACATACAAAACAGAGGAAGACTGGCACAGATGTTAGCTTAGGGCTAATCTTCCTCAAGCAACAAAAGAGGGAGATTGGCAACAGATGTTAGCTCAGGGCGAATCTTGCTCAGCAAAAAATTAAATAAAATAAAAAATGTCAGTATTGTGAAAGAAATGGCAGGACTGTTACAGATTAAAGACTAAACAATCATCAAAAGTAAATGCAATATGTGATCCTTGATTGGATATTAGATTTTTAAAAGTTATAAAGAACATTATTGGGACAATTGGGAAATTTTAATGTGGAACATTTATTAGTTAGTAGTGTTATATCATTGTAAATTTATTGAGAGTGCTAATGTTATTGTAGTTATGTAGGAGAATGTTCTTGTTCTAAGAAGATATATGCTTAATTATTTAGGGATGAAGTATCTTTATAACTTATTTTCAACTAAAAAATATATATCTATGTATTTACATGTAGGTATATATAAAATATTATTTACATAATATAGTGATAGATATATATAATTTTTTAAAGAGAAGAATGCAGCAATGCAAATGTGGAAAAATGATAGCCATTGGTGAATCTAGGTGAAAATAGGGGTATTCTCTCTTCTATTTTAGTTTCTCTGAAAGTTTGAAGTTTTTAAAAATAAAGAGTAGTTAAAAAAAAAAAAGAGCAAGGGCTGTGGAATTCAGACTGTCTGGTTTGAATCCTGTCACTGCCAACTATAGGCTGTGTGATCTTGGGCCAGATCCTTAGTTTTTATTAGTCTCCATCCCTTCATCTATAAAAAGAGTATAATAATAGTTCCTGTCTCATGGGGTAGCCATAAAGTTAAGTACTATTATACATATGAATTAACTATTACCATTAATTATAATCTGGGAACTTGAACTCCTCATAGAAACAAATTACTTAGGCAACCCATCACAACTGACTGATCCTGGTGGGTTATGTCAGTGTGCCGTAGGGTGCCTCCTACATAGAGCTCATGGAATAACACCAGCATGCTCTTTCAGAATTGCCAAGATGATTTTTTTTTTTTAATTCCCTAGGAAGCTTACAGACTCCTAAAGGCTTCATTGAAGTCTCAGATGATCAGCTATGGTGACTGTAGTGAAAGAATGGCTGAAACTTTTTATAATATGGGCAGGATCTGCTTTGCCAAAGGAGAGCTCAGAAAGGCAATTCAGCTGCTAAGGAAGGTGAATACTGGCTGGTTTTGTTACATTTTCTCCCGGGCCTATAAGCACAATGTGAGGAGTGATGTATGTATGTATGTACAGTACGTATGTGTGTGTGTGTTTTCCCTTCCCTTCCCTTCTCTCTCTTTCCTTCCTTCTTTCTCTTTTTCTTTTCTTTTTTTAAAGTAAAGTGTTCTGTTTTGAAAATTCTTTGCTTTCTTAGATGTGCTGAGGGAGAACATGATATAGAAACTTTTGTTGTGTCCATGCCTGAACCAGTATCTTAAAAGAGTAACACTTTCATCTTGGAATCTAGGTATGGCAGTGGCAGAATCTTGTGAAAGCACCTAAGTTTGGATGGAATCAGGAACACCATATATAGCCATCCTTACCCAAGTACTGATTCCCCTTCCAGGGAGCTCAGAGAACCCTGGAAGTTTATTTCCTAGTAGCAGCATGTGGCAAGAGGTGTGCCCGAACAGTTGTTCAACCAGTCACTATCCTGACAGACCACAGCTAAAGACTTGATAAGATCGGTAGTGATGTCTCTGCGTAAAACCCAGGTTTGCTCAATATCAGAGGCAAAGTTCATAAAGATCAACCAGTCTTCAAGTGAACAGAGTCAAAAGCAATCCACACGTGCATTGGCAAATATCAGGTCTAAGAAGAGATTTTATCTCATTTCAGGTTAGCTAAATGTAATCAGAAAATAAGTATGAAAATAGTAAATAACAGGAGAAAGGGGATTCATTTTGCAGATTCAGAGAAAAAGAAAATCTTATGAAAATAAGGTACAGTCATGCGTCACTTAACAACGGGCATTCATTCTGAGAAATGTGTCGTTAGGCGATTTTGTCATTGTGTGAGCATCGTATAGTGTACTTACACAAACCTAGATGGTATAGCCTACTACACACCTAGGCTATCTGGTACTAATCTTATATGTGGTCTGTCGTTGACTGAAAGGTCGTTATGCAGTACACGACTGGATAGGGATCAGAATAGCTTTTTAAAGGGAAGCATGAACATATGCACAGTATCTGTGTAATAGGATCAGAAACTTATAAGGAGAGAAAACTTTAAAAGGAAAGGATGACAATCTGAGATCAAAAGATGAGATTAAAATGCTAAGAGTGAAATAAGAAGGAATTTCAGGGAAACCACAAATCTAATAAAACTCAAATCCACGTTGAAAATAGTGAGGAGAGGCTTAAAAATGTCATAGTGAGGTTGAGCAATATTTCCCAAATCTAGAATTGCAAGTCAGTAAAAAAACAAAAATAAAGCCAACAAAATAGATTCCTGAGCCCTACCCCAGATCATCAAATCAGAAGTCCTATGAGTTGTGTCCAGAATCTGAATTTTTAATACTTCTAGAGGTGTAGTATCCTGCCAGTTTTAAGAACCAATGATTTATATGGCAAACTTGGAAAGCTCTCCTAGAATGCAAAGGAAAAGGAGAGAGGAGGGTTACAGTGAGAAAGTAGTTGACTTGGATGACAGAGTAGAGATTCAGCCAAAGAATTGTGTGTATCTCTGAAGAGGAACTATAATACTTGGAGTAGAAACAGTAATCAAAGAGATCATTGAACACAGCTTTTCTGAAATGAAAAAAGACCGCAGCATATACATTGTAAGAGTTTCCTCAAAATCAATGAAAGGAGAGCCCTATCTAGATTTTATCTAGCAATGAACATTTGATGGCATGGCTACATTCTCCGTTTGGAATAGGGATTCAACTTAGAGATTTAGGACACTGCAAGGGTAGGGAAGGGCTGCATCTTTGTCATGAGCTTTTATCCTTGGGGCTTCAGACATTGCCCTACTCCAGTGTCCCAGCCCAGAAAGGAGCAGAGGAATAGAAAGGCATTCTGACAGTAGGGCTGTTGTTTCGAGGTTTGAAAACCATCCTCATGCTGGATATCCACCAGCAATGGGATGCTGATGATGAAGTTTCTGAAATAGACTATGTGAATGGATGCCGTTCTAGGGGTTGGAAACTGCTCATGGAATTAAAAAGAAAGTAATAGACTTAAGAAAAAGTTGATGTTGAGAGGAAACTCCTTTGGCAGACAGAATACAGCATAAAGAAGGTCATGCATGCATAACCCTAGTGACACTTTTGGCTTTTTTTCTTGGTCAGTTCAGGTTTCACGTAAAAAGAATCAAAGTTAAATGTAGTGGGGTGGGAGTGAGAAGATATAGAAAAGACAAACATTAAACAGTGATAATCTTGTGATGGAATAATTTTTATTGGCATAGAGTAAACTACACACATTTTGAAGTGTACAATTTGATCAGTTTTGACATCTCTACTTACCTGTGAAACCATTACCACAATCAAGATAATGAATACATGAGTCACCCCCAAAAGTTTCCTCGTGCCCCTTTGTAATTAATTAATTCCATCCCCTCCCCCAACCTTACCCCCAGGCCAAAACTGATCTGCTTTTGTCATTATAGATAAATTTGCATTTTCTAGAATTTTATATAAGTAGAATCATATAGTTACACGGTTATAATGGTTCTTTCACTCAGCATAATTATTTCGAGATTCATCCATGTTATTGTGTATCAGTGGTTCATTCCTTTTTGTTGCTGAGTATTACATTGTATGAACACAACAATTTGTTTATCCATTCACCTGATGATGGACGTTTGGCTGTTTCCAGTTTAGGTTCATCACAGATAAAACTGCTATGAATGTTCATGCATAAGTCTTTGTATGGATACATGCTTTTTTCTGTCTTGGGTGAATACTTGGGAGTGAAATCATATGATAGGTTTATGTTTACCTTTATAAGAAACTGCCAAAGTTTTCCAAAATAGTTGTGTTATGTTATAGAATCCCACCAGCAGGTTTGAGAATTCCAGTTCCTCCACTTCCTTACCAATATTTAGCATGGTCAGTGTTTTTCATTTTAGGTATCTAGTGGTATCTCATCGTGGTTTTGTGTTTTCCTTGGATGTCTTTTCATGTACTTATTTTTCATCTGTGTATCTTGTTTGTTGAAATGTCTGTCTAAATCTTATGCCCATTTATTATTAGTTGTTTGTTTTCTTATGATGGACTATTAAAAGTTCTTTTTATATTCTAGATACAATTTCTTTATCAGATATATGATTTGCAAATATTTTCTCCCAGTCTGTAAGTTGTCCTTGCATTTTATTAACAGTGTCTTTTGAAGAGCAGAAGTTTTAAAATTTAATTAAGTCCAATTTATCAATTTGTTCGTTTATGGATTGTGCTTTTGGTGTTTTATCGTAGAAATCTTTGCCTAACCCAAGTGGCAAAGATTTTTCTCTTATGTTTTCTTCTAGATTTTTTTGTAATTTTAGGTTTAAAACATATTTAGGTATAGGATCCATTGAGTCAGTTTTCCTATATGGTACGAGGAATGGATCTTAGTTTATTGTTTTTGCATATGGATATCCAGTTTTTCCAGAACCATTTTTATTGAAAAAAACATTCGTTTTTCTACTGAATTATCTGTGCACCTTTGTCAAAAATCAGTTTGTGTGTGTGTGTATGTGGATTTATTTCTGGACTCTCTTCTGTTCCATTTATCTGTTTGTCTATCTTTATGCCAATACTATGCTGTCTTGGCTATTGTATCTTTAAAACAAGTCTTGAAATCAGGTTGTGTGACTCCTTAGACTTTGTTCTTTTTCAAAGTTGTTCTGAGTATTCTAGGTTCTTTGCATTTCCATAGGAATTTAGAATCACTATATCAATTTCTACAAAAAAATTTGCTGGGATTTTGATTGACGTTGCATTGAATAGATAGATTAGTTTGGGGAGAATTGACGTCTTAACCATATTGAGTCTTCTCACTCATGAACACATTGTGTCACTCTATTTGTGTAGATCTTCTTTAATTTATCCCAGTAATATTTTGTACTTTTCAATGGACAGGTCTTGTGCATCTTTTCTTAGATTTATCCTTAAATTTTTCATATTTTAATGCTATTTTGAATGTATTATTTTTGAATTTCAATTTCTGACTGATTGTTGCTAGTATATAGAAATACAACTTTATTTATTAATATACTGATCTTGTATCCCATGACCTTGCTAAACTCACTTGTTAGTTCTAGTAGCTGTTTTGTAGATCCCATTGTATTTTCTACATAGATTATCGTGTCATCTGTGAATAAACAGTTTTGCTTCTTTCATTCCAATTTGGATACCTTTTATTTCTTTTTCTTGCCTTGTTGCACTCACTAGAACAGCTAGTAAGATGCTGACGAGAAGTGACGAGAACAGCCATCCTTGTCTAATTCCTGATTTCAGGGGAAAAGAATTTAGTCTTTTATAATTAGGTTTGATATTAGCTGTGGCTTTTTCATAGATACTCTTCATCAGCTTGATAAAGTTATCTTCTACCCCTGGTTTTCTGAGAGTTTTTAAAAAAATTTTATCAGTAATGGATGTTGGATTTTTAAAAATTGGATGTTTCATATTATGAAAATCTTTTTCTGTACCTAGTGAGATAACCTGTGACTTTTCCTCATGGATAGTTCCTATTACTGTGTCTTCAAGTTCATTCATTTTTTCTTCTTCAATGTCAAACTGGTTGTTAATCTCATTCAGTGTATTTTTCCTATCAGACATTGTGATTTTCATCTCCAGAAGTTTGATTTCGGTCTTTTTAAAAACTATATTTTCTGTGTCCCCATTTAACTTTTGTAACACATGGAATAAAATTACAATAACAGTTTTAACATACTTCTCTGCTAATTCTAACATCTGTGTCAATTCTGTATTTGTTTTGATTGACTGATTTTTCTCTTTATGGACCGCACTTTTCTGCTTCTTTGCATGCTTTATAATCTTTGTTTGGATACCTTGTTTGGTGTTGAGTATTTTTGTATTCTTATAAGTATTCTTGAACTTTGTTCTGGAACTCAGTTCCAAAATTACAGTTTGGTCCTTTTAGGTCTTGCTTTTAAGATTTGTTAGATGGGACTAGAGCATCATTTAGTCAAGGGCTAATTATGCCCCATTACTGAGGCAAAAGCCTTCTGAGTACCCCACCCAAGGCTCCATGAACAATGAGGCTTTCCCATTTGACTGGTGGGAACAGGCAGTATACCTGGCCCTGTGTAAATGCCAGGCACTGTATCCCTCCATCCTTCAGATGATTCTCTCCCCAGCCTTGGGCACTTTTCACACATGTATGTTTTAATCAGTACTCTGCTGAATACTTGAGGGGGATGCACTGCAGATATTCCTGTGCAGCTGCCTCCTGTTACTCTGCCCTGTGAATCTCCTCAGCTCCACAGCTTCAATTCAGGGAGTCTGCTGAGCTCCATATTGTCCCCTTCCCTGCATCATGGCCTGGAAACACTCTCAAAGGAGTAACTCTGGGGCAATCATAGGGTTTATCTCACTTATTTTCTCTCTCTCGGAATCACTGTCCTTTTCTGCCTGATGTTCAGTGTCTTGAAGATAATTTCATATATTTTGTCTACTTTTAACTTTTTTGTTTGTTTCAAGGGGAGGGTAAATCTGGTCCCTCTAATTCCATCTTGATTGGAAAGAGAGGTCAGCAATAAAATTTTAAATGGAAAACTGCCTAATAAAATGATGTAGCATGAGAATGCAAGGCAAATTTGGGACACATACACAGGTTTCATTTCTATCCATCCATTTGGTTACAGCTATTTGGGAAACCCTGATGGAAACCACTAATGCACCATGTTTTAAATAGGGATGCTGTCAGCTTTCAGCCCTGTGACTTTGGTTATCCACAGCCACATATGGCAGTGGTAGGTGCAGTGAAGTATAATATACACATACAGTGTGAGGGGTACAGAGCCTTCAATTCAGACTCCTTTTCCTCTTTGGTGGGAAACCAGGAGGAAATGTAGTGCAGGCATTTGAAATGCAAACTTGTGACACCTCAGTTCCACTGCTGCTCTCCTGTGTCTGGTTTATAATTAAGGTGCTTACTACCTGATTCTCTTTAACCTCTTATGTTTCTCAATTCACCTACAGTGTCTGATGATTCAAATCCTTTTATATGGAAGTGAGCATAGTAAAAGCAGAGACACAAAAAACCTCCTTACTCTATTGCAGAGGTGAGTTCTGGCCCTGGCCATCAACCAGGTCATCAGTGTGGATATGTGGATAGAATGGCCTCTCCCAGATTCATTCATTTAGGGGTGCTTCAGTTCTATTATTCTTGCCAGTAAGGCAAAATGCCAACCTGTACTATGGATTTGGACAAATCCTATATAGGAGGTAACTAGTGGATTTCTGGTGGTCTCTCAGAACCTAATATTATAGGGGTCTGCTGCAGTAATATTTAATATTTATAATATTTCTTTCCATGCTCAGCATAATAACCAAATCCTACAAGACAGTGTCTCAGCTGACAGCCTGTGATAGGTACAACATGCATTTATACAAAGTAAATGAATACATTAAATGAGTTATTTTTCTTCCTAAATATTCAAAATCTAGGTCCCTAAACATAAGGCAAGTTTTTTTTGGGATATAGTGTTAGTAATAAAAGAACCTCTTCAGATTCTTTTTAAAAATGTTTAGAATTTAAGCCAAGGAGAGTGTTTTGTGTAGACTTGCTCCCTTCTTTATCCTTGCTGTTTGTTTTCATCTCAGAATGATGTTAGCCTTGAACTATTCTCTTTTAAAAAAGAAGAGGATTAAAATTTGGTGAGTGTATACTAAATTCCTAACACTGAGCTAGGTCCTATTCATAAAGTATTTAATCCTTACGAATACTCAATATGATAGTTCTTATTTGACAGAAGGGCCAGTGTTCTGTAAAGGAACTTGCCTAAATTCACTTAGTCTTGGAGGTTTGGCCCCAAGCAAGTGTGACTCTAAGGGCCATGTGCTTTCCCCTAGAGCCCTCTGACAGAGAGGGCATCCTTATGGGGTGAGAGTTAGGGCCCTGATCGCAGTTCACTGGAGCTGGCTCACAAACGGTACCTTTCTCACCCGGCTGGACAGGTAGGGGACAAGATGAGCACAGAGAATACATTCAGACCCTCCTATCCCCATCCACCTCACAGCCACACCTGCAGTAGGACCAACAGAAGACTGTCCTCACCTTGTCATTATCCAGGGGAGGAGGGTCTCCAGCCTCTCTCAGTAATGCCCAAGTTAGGAGGGCATACGGGAGAACTCTGCCCCCTGCCTGCTGGTGTTAATAAAAGTATTTTCTTAATCAATAACCATAACAATATTAATAATAACTATAATGTTGAATTCTTTCTAATTCCCTGGCATTGTAAAATACAAATACTATTTCTGATCCATAAATAACCCTATTAGGTAAGGATTTTTCTCTCTCATGTTCAGGTGATGAAACTGAGACTCAGAGTTTGGGTATCTTATTTAAATTCACCTAGCTGGTAAGTGTAGTAAGACTTGAACCCAGATCTACCATATTTCAAAAATGCACTTCCTTTCACTATGTAATAGGGATTCTGACTTGGATGAATTTGAGAATATATTTGGACACACCTGGTCAGCAGGTAAGTCTCCAGAGCACCATTTTACATGTGGGGAAACTGAGGACTGACATGTTCAAGTGAATTTACCCAGGAAGACGCAGAGCTGGGATTTGAACCGAGGTCTGACTCCAGAATGTGCTCTTTGTAGGCAGTGTAGCTTACAGTCTGAAGGCACACTGTCTGGATTGAACACTCAGGCTCCAACACTTGGCTCTCTGACCTAGTTGAAGTTACTTAACCTCTCTCATCCTCTATTTATTCATCAATGAAATAAAAGTACCTTCCTCAAAAGTAGGTTTTCTGAGAGTTAAAAAGATCGTATATAATACTGCACTTAGATCAGGGCCTGGCAGGTCTTAAATACTCAGTGAATGTTGGCATAATAATAAAATCATAACAATAATAATCTTTCTGAGATGCTGGAGATATGTCAGAATGTTAAATAGGAAACTTCCGTAGATCACTCCAACTATTGTTATTTTGTACGAAGAGTAATGGGTAAAGAACAGGCGTTACTGGAGTCAGCCCTGTCGTCTCAAGCTGCCTCCATCAGTTACCAAGTACGTGACCTTGGGCAAATCACTCAACCTCCGTGAGCTTTGGTTTCTCCATCACTAAAATGCAGATAATAGTATACCACATAGAGTTGTTGTGAGTTTTAAATAAAATAATGTACATAACATGCATAGGAAAAGTGCCTGGCAGAGTATGTGTTCAATAAATGTCAGCAAAGCACCCTTCTCTCCCTCTTCTCTGCACTATGCTGCCTTTTGCTTCCAGGGCAACAGGTCAGAATATCTGAAATCAGGGATAATTCTTAAGCAGTATTAACATATGTCATATATTTGAGTATTTGAATCTCTGAACATATCTAAAGTACATTTTGTGCTTTGAAAGTAATAACAATGAAACTGAAAGGACAAAACCTGTAATTTCAGAGGAAAAAAATGCGTGATGTTTCCTCAAAGCTGGAGCTAAAGTTCTCCTCAGCTTGTATTTAACAAGAGAAACTTCGGAAGAGCTGGAGTGAATCTATTTCCTCAGTAGCCTGAAGTTGCTTTTCCTTCCAGTCTTTTACTGTTCCTCGTTCCTTGTCTGTGATTTGAAAAGAATCGTAGGAGGAGGAGAAATTAGGAGGCATTGGTATAACCTAATTCAGACCCCAGGTAGTTTGAGTTTCTTTAGGTGCTTGGAGACTGATTCTCTCTGTGAATGACAAAGAGACCAAGAAAGTCCATATAAGGGGAAAAGAAATGTCTTTTGAAGGACTTTCCTGTAGAAGAAGTTGCGTCGATAAAGGTTTTTCTTTCCCTGAAACAAGCCTGTATCTCATTCTGCAAGAACTGCTGAGCAAAGCTACAGGAGAAGCTGCCAAAGCCCAGATCTAAAAAAAAAAACCAGGACAAGAATTGTTCTCTTTGCTCGAGCATCTCGCTGGAATAATCCATCCCAGATGTCCTGGAACTCTGCTAGTTTTCCAGTGTGCTCTTGTGCTTTTCACCCCACGTCCTCCGGAAACCCAGTGACAACACTCACTGGACTTTCATTGCCAGGAGCCCAAATTCTTGGCTTTTGAAGCCTCTGCAAAGAAGTGAAAGCAGAACTGGTCCCTTGAAATAGGAGTTAATTCCAAGGTTAAATGATAGTTGCAAGGGCCTCAAATAAGATTTTAGCGTATAGAAAAGGCACAGACAATTTCAGATTTGGAAGTAAACTTTGAGGTTGTTTAGTCTTTTCCTTAAATCACAAATGTACTTCAGTTTTAATCATTTACATATCAAGCTCCTTCTAAGGACTAGAAATACAAATATAAGATATAGTCCTCTCAGGAAAACAGACACACATGAGCAGATTACAAGTTAGTCTGTAGTAAAGCTCTAATAGAAATGTAAACATAGAGGACAAGTAAGAACTTGTGAGGCTGGAAACCTGCGTGCAGAATTGCGCATGCTGAGGGCAGGTGATGGGTCTTCAAAGGAAAGTAAAATATCAGCAGGTAGGAAAGAAACTAGAGGAGGGCGTTTCAAGTAGCAAGAACAAAAGCACAGTGGCATGGAGATACTTGATATTTCTGAGGAAAAGCAAGTGGCCTTGAGTGGTTGTAATTTAAGGAACATAAATAGGAACATGCTGGAGATGAGGCCTAGGAAGTCTGAGGAAGATAATGATTTCCATTTGGGATGTGTTAAGTCTGAGGTACCCACAACACATCCACTTGGGAATGTCTAATAGGCTAATAGTTATGGACCAGAAGCTAAAGGAGATAGATTCTGAAATTAAGGGAATGGATAAGAAACCCATGGAATATGTATAAGTGAAATGAGAAGGCTTAGAACAGAACTTTGGAGGACACATACTTATTTTGGAGAGCATATATGTGGTGATTTGGAATCAAAACAGATAGGGCTCGAATTTGAGCTTTCCCACTTAAAGTGTGACTTCCTAAGTTTTCCTTTCTTCATCTAAAAAAATGTGAATAATAAGAGCACTCTATTTTCAGTGCTTTACTTAACATATGGCACATAGTAAGCCTCTGTGAAATGTTAATTATTGTAATTATTATTATCGTATTACCTGGGGGTCATGCAGGAGAAGGAACTGGGAGGGAGACTCAGAAAGAGTCTTTAGAGAATTAGGAGGGTCAGGAAAGAACAGAAAGGAACTCATAGGAGGAGGAAGTTTCAGAGCAGAAGGAGTCAATGTCACTATCATAAAAGACACGCAGGGGAGTTCAAAGAAGTGGTGCAAACGGTCAATAAACACAAAGCAGAATTTCCAATCTTACACAGAATTAACCAATTCAAAACATGAAATGCCATTTTTAACCCATACTATTTGTGGTAATGAAAAATACAAGTAATACAAACCCAGTTCTGTCAGAGGGGTGGGGAGATCAGCCCTCTCACTGCTCTGTCGATGGACTGTTGGTTGGTACCACCTTTTTGGTGGACATTTTAGCAAAGTTAATAGAATGTTTACATGCACGTATCCTTTGACTCTGAAATAGCATTTCTGGGAATCTTTTTAAATACTTGCACAAATGCATACACACACACACACACACACCCCTTACTTGAAGATTTACTTATAATAGCAAAGCAGTAGAAAACACTTAAATGTCCACCAGTAGAAACACTAGTCCATGTTTATGACCATATAATATGGTCATTCAAAAGCATAAAGTAGAGCTTTGGAGAGTCACAGGAAAATATCACAGATATATTGATGGGGTAAAAACATGAAAAAGTACATATTAGTGAGCATTAAAAATAGTCTAACCCATAAATATATGTAAATACGTAGTTAGTGAAGGTAACAGTGGTTATCTCTGGTTCACAGGACTATGGGGAACTTTCAACTTTTATATATTTCTATATTATATGACTTTTTTAAAACAACAAATATATATTACAGGCATACCTTGTTTTATCGCCCTTTGCTTTATTGCACTTTGCAGATATTGAGTTTTTTACAAGACCCTCCACCAGCAAAAAGATTACTACTCACTTAAGGCTCAGATGATGGTTAGTATTTTTTAGCTTGTACTTTTTAATTAAGGTATATATTGTTTTTTTTTTTAGACATAATGCTATCGCACACTTAATAGACTACAGTATAGTGTAAACATAACTTTTATACGCACTGGGAAACCAAAACATTTGTGTGACTCTCTTTATTGTGACATTTGCTTTATGGTGGTGGCCTGGAACCAAACCCCCAATATCTCTGAGGTATGCCTATATATCTGTGATAATAAAAGATACATTTTTAAAAAAAGTATGGCATATGTATCAAATATCAAGAGACAGTACAATGTATTGTTAAGAGAATGGGTTAAAGCCAGATGCCTGGATTATAGTCCCAGCTCTGTTATTTATTAGCTATGTTTCCTTGGACAAGTCACTTTACTTCTCAGTTTCCTCATCTATAAAATGGCGATAATACCTACTTCATAGGGTTGTTGTGAGTAAATGAGTTAATGTAAGTAAAACTGCTCAGAAGATGCCTGACACATGGTATGTGCTAATTAGAAATGCTGGTGGTGATGTGAAGAGGATGATGACTAATAAGAAGCCATTATATTGGCAAATCGAAAATCGCCACTGACATCAGAGTGGGCTATATTGGTGGAGCAGAGTTTTGAGATTACTGTTTGTCCAGTACCTGATGAAATACCTCCCAAACCAGGGATTCACTCATTACCTATCAAAGTGGCCCCTTCAATTACTGGACAGTTCTAATTGTTAGAAGAATATAGTACTCAAGGTCATGGACTTGAGAGTCAGATAGACCCGTGTTTGAATCCAGACTCTGCCACTTTCTGTGTATCATTGGGCAAATTATCCTAAGCTTCAGTTTTCTCTAATGAGGATTAGAATAGTCTCTAGAATATCAAACATAATGAAGAGTAAATGAGACTATTCACATAAAGCCCTTACACGGCATCTAGTCTATAGTAAGTGCTCAACAAATATTAGCTATTTTTACCACTCTAGCTAGTCATCCAAACTTATTGCAAGTGTGAGAGCATGGGGCATCAACTTCATCTTTGTCCTCGTTAGACAGCTCTGGGACAGCTGCATGCCACAGAGTTATTTTGGTATAACTTTTGATGGCTCCTGAGCTGTAGAAGCCAACAGGAGCAAGGAAAACCATCTTTTCTTTACAGGAGGGGCAAGAGGGCAGGTGCTTCAGTGCCCATTAATCTAGGAGTGACCTACTTTCCTCTTGGTCATGTGAACAAATGGAACAGCCTCCTCTGGGCTGAGGGGCTGGGGAGGCAAAGCCCCAGAAAAGTAGGGTGGAAATCAAGGATTCGGGGTGATTATCTCTGGAGATAACTGCAGCAGGTAGGAGAATAGGTGATATGCTCAGTAAGTTTTGTGTTTGCCAAAACATTCTTGGGCAAGACTTTAGTGATGAAATTCTTGCTCCATAAGCTGGACTGTTTCCAGGCTGCTGTATTGGTATTCGTTTCCTATCATTTACTAGTAATTATTCCAACGCTGCCTCTACAAAATTAAGGGGGGAAAATATTTGGGCCAACCTTGGTGTATGAATGGGTGGGAAGCACCATCTGCTCTAGCATCCGGGTGCCAAGAGGGCAGCAGCTTTTCCAAATCAGGATTTTAGGAATAGCTGGAGGCCTTGGGGCAGATAGAGAAATGAAAGTTTAGGAAGATTTGGCTCCCTACCTTAGGGACTCCCTGAAGGGGAACAGAGGCTACTGAGCCACCAAGAACCAGCACAGGGTACCTTGTCTTTAGCAGGGCAGTGGGGGGAGCACTTAGAATCAACAGCAACTCTGCTATGCTCACAAAAATACATAGGTGGGTATAGCGTGGAATCAGGCAAGGAGGGCAAATATATGTCATCTCATGGGCGCACTCTGTTAGTGGTTTCCTAGAGTGATGCTTGAAGCTCCAGAGCAAAAGTTTGGGTCTGGTGGAGCTTGATTTATTAGTATTGTCTGCCGTGGGGTATGGGTGGGGCAATAGCTGAACTTCTGCCACGAATCTGCTATCTAGGCTTAGCAAAAAGAGCAAGGCACCTTGTGTATGAATCCCAACTCTGCTCTGAAATAGCTAAGTGACCTTAAGTCACTTAAACATTCTGAGCCTCAGTTTCCTCATCTGTATTTATTCCTTCAAGAAACATCTGATGAGCACTACTAAGCGCTAGGAGCAGTTAGAGCTGCAGTGGGTAATACAGACAAATAAAACATGATCATTACTCGTAAGGAAGCACAAGAGTGGAAGAGATAAACATAAATAAATGAGAAATAAAGAAAAGTATAAGTTCTGTAGTCGAAGTCTCAGGGCAATGAAAGCAGAAAGGAGAGACAATCTAAGCAGGCCGGAAGACCTCATAAAGAGGGTTACATTTGAGCTGTTTTTTGAAGGGTGAGTAACAGTTCGTCCAGATGGAGAAGAGAAGCCGTTCCAGGAAGAAGGAACTCTATATGCAAAGGTATAGAGGCATGACCGAGGGCAGTGTATCGAAGGAATGGTAAGTGCTTTATGGCTGTTGTACCAGACAGCATTTCCTAAAGGGCACTGCAAGGAATGCTGATTCCAAGGGATGGAGGAGGGAGAAAGCCTCTGTGGCAGAAATCAGTTCAGGAAAAAGCCAAACTGGGTTATACAGTGACACAAGTTCATTTCCTGAAGGACTTCTCTGAACTTTTAAGATATTAAACTTCCCTACTGGCACGTTGGGACCAAATTAATTTTTAAAAAGCCACTGTATTTATATATACTTGAATTCTTTTTGAAATGGTCAATGATTTAGGTTTCAGCAAATAAAACCTTACACTATCTTTAAATCAAATGAGAAAACTGTCTACGGTTTGGTTTTTATTTAAAGCAAGGAGTGTAGCACATGCTTGAACTGAAGGTACAGGAATGCTTTTGTAGTTTGGTAAAGATTTGGGCCTCACTTCAGGATATAATAAGGTCTTTATGAACAATGACTATCTCACCAACAAACTATTTTGTCTGATCATACAAACATGACTTCAGCACATCCTTCAACTTCATCCCTGTGAACTAATTTTTCTTTATGATTCATGGTGGTTATGAGCTCTAGTTCTGGAGACAGACAAGCCTGGGCTCAAACCCCAGAACCACCACTTTCTGGCTATGTGTAATCTTGGTTCCCTCATCTGCAGAATGGGGATGAGAATAGTACCCATTTCTCAGTGTTGCTGTGAGAATAAATGAGATAATGTATATAAAGTAGTTATTGGGGTGCCTGACCCCATAGTAATCATGTGATAAATAACAACTAACAGCTATTTTTATTCTTACTGAAAGCTAGGCTGTGACTTAATACTCTCTAGTTACGCCACTGGTGCATGACGCGAAAGAAGATTAAGGGTTAGTAACTGTGAAAAGCTCCCACCAAGCTGGTGTGGAAAACATTTTGCTGGCTAACATCTTAAAAGTGAGCTAGAGCTTATCAGCCCCTGGAAACATAGATAATATCGTAGACAAGACAGTCTGACACAACTCCTTACATCCAAAGAAGAGAATATACACACCCTGGACATCAGCGTCCTTTCAGCGACTGAGGAGCTGAGGCAAGCGGAACGCTGCCACCTTGTGGTGGGAGAGTTGAAGGCTGAGGCTGATGTCCAGGTGCTGTCCCAGCAGAGACCCCTGTCCGATCTTTGCCCACCTCTGATTTTATGAGACCCCTGGGCAACTGACTTAATTTGTGCCGATTTCTTCTCCAAATTTGGAATCACCCTCTCTCTTGGTTTACTGAGAAGGAAGTTAAAGTGCCAGATAGCTTTCTGTAGTTTACACAGTCATCATTAGACAAGAATGAATCAGAGTCGTTAGTGGGATTTGCAAATAAAAAACTCTCAAGTTGCTCATAAAATTTTCTCTCTCATATTTCTGTGGAAACACTTTTTTTTTTCAGCCCAATGGGGGCTATGAAAACCACACATTTTGCAGGCTTGATGTCTAAATAGGAGGTGACTGAAGAACACTTAATAGAAACCGTGTTTCTGGATCACAGTCCTTTGGACCAGATTACTTCTAACTCCAGCCCAACTCCTCCAGTCTTAAGAAATCAGAGATTGGAAATCTTTATGGCTGGAAATGGGGAAGACAGATCCTCTTTTTAGCGCTTATAGGGCCTCTGGGCTCTGAATCTCTGGGCTCTTGAGAAGAGATCACCTAAAAACTCATGAACTATATAAAAGGCCCTAAATTAGGTAAGTTTTTTAAGCTGTGATTAAAAGCAATTCCAGTATCTTAGATATCGGTGGTTTGCCATCTGAATCAAGGGAAGAGCTCCCTACGCTTTAAGGAGAAAACCCAAGACTAGTACCCTTTTGGAGGCCCTATTACAAGAGTCAGCATTCTGGGCTCTGGTCACATGGAGAAATTGTCAGTTGCCTCAAACTGAGCTCAGCCTTCGAGCTCAAGAAGGCACTGACCTCGTGCTGGGAAGAAGAGAAGGCGAGAACCAAGAACAATGCACAAATGGTCTTGTCTTTCCCTCTAGGTCTTCTGTTATGAGTAAAGAGAAAACCTCTATACAAGATAGCCAACAATAAAGCCAACTTTGTTGACAAAAATTCTGGACCACAAAATATATTCATCAACGCATAAGAGTGGTGGATCAAAAGCAGAACAACTAAGGACCCCGGGGGAAAAAGGTCCACTCAGCAGCAGCATCACAGGTAAAATACCCAAGAGCCACTAGAAACCAGGATCCTGATCACTAACCTGGGGGCAAGAAAGCTTTTTTTAAACACCTGCTTCATTTAAGTTAGTTTCTTCCGTTTCTGGGACTCCATTACCTTCCATTTCCCTTTTTCTAACTCTTAATTTCATTCTTTTCAATTCTGATTTTTTAAAAAATCCCACAATACCTAAGTAGTTTACTGTTGAACACTTGAATATGCCATTTGGAAGTAGTTTTAATCATAACTTGTTTGAGGTCACTAAGAGTGCTTTGTGAGAAAATGTTTGACCCTCTGAAACAGTTGCCCTGATCTGATGTACTACAGTCATACCGTGTTAGAGCCAGAAAGGGTTTTTTGATTGTTATAAATGAAGAAACTAGGGACAACAGAGAGTGATTTGTTCAAGGTCAGTGTGGTAATTATAAGGCAGACTTCCTGCATCACACATGATCATTCTCTTTCCATCCTCCTATGCTACCCCCACCAAACTGGATTAAAAAGGCGTGTGTTAGGAAAGGAATGCTCACCGAGGTGGTTCAAAAAAAAATCCTTAGCCCCTGAACCACTGTGTATCCAGGAAAAGAAAGTGGCAATCTCGAATTCTATTTCTTTCTTCTTTGTGCATTCAGGGACAAAGGAGAAATCAGATTCATTTGAGTCTTCACTATAAAAAACTTTTTCCTTTTTCACTGTTTCTGTTACCTGAGCTGATTTAATGGAGCTCAAAGACCCTGTGTCTTTGGGGATCCATGTGTCTATCAACATCTCTGTCACTCAGTGCTTATGGAACCACATTTTCGTTCTTCATTCAAGAAATTGCTTCATTTCAGTCACTTGTTCAGTCTGTAAGACCTAATAATCAACCAGTACCTGAGGTATAGTAGTAAGCAGTGTTCTACTGCAGCAGTATATATACACTAATTAATCCAATGGCTTGGCCCTAGACTGGTCGGCTTTCTCCTGGCAGCTGCCGCTCTCCCTTAGCTAATTCCCAGAAGGCTTTAGGCTTGGCACTCAGCACCAAGGTCTCAGGTTGCAGCCCTGGCTGAAGGCAGCTATATTCCATTGACCTTCTCTGCAGTGCTTATTAACTGGTCATCCAGCCTGTCACTGTTAATTTTAGCCCTGTCTGGAGATGGGACTGCTGTTCTTACCCAGAACATGCTGAACTGACTAAAGCTGCCCTGGAAGAGTTGCTTCCATTTTCATATATCCAGTTGAAAATGGATTTTTAAGTGTCTGTGATAAAAACAAAGTACTAGAAAGAAGTGGCCATTCAGGCTCCATTTTGGGTGGCACTAAAGTTTTTAAAATTTTACTGTTTTGTGAGAACCCAAAGTGAGGTCTCCAAACTGACAAACCTGTATCAATAAAACAATAGCATGAAGTGTAACACTGTCAAATAAAATTTTATGGTGTGACGCTGTTCTTGCATTTGAAATTTGTTTTTAACATTTTGTTTTTCTTTTTAATATTTTGCTTTTCTTTATTGTTAGCGTAGAGTTGCTAACAGTCCATTTTCTGAAATTCTGATGTTAAAATATTTTGTGAAATGGTGGTGATAACGAATGGTATAGTTTTCATAGCCTCATACATGACAAGATACTAAATTGGCACCTATGTTGTTCCCAAAAGTTTTAAAACTTAACTATTTTGTAAAATTACCAAATTTTAAGAAAGTCAACATTAGAATGTTCAGCACAACACTACCTAATACAAAGTTGCATTCTCACTTGGAAAACTGTAGGTGAGAACCAGCAATCTGGATGATCCGGATGTTTGTAACAGCCAATATGGGCATACACAACTGTGTGTGTGTGTGTGTGTGTGTGTGTGTGTGTGTAGCAATCTGGATGATCCGGATGTTTGTAACAGCCAATATGGGCATACACAACTGTGTGTGTGTGTGTGTGTGTGTGTGTGTGTAGCAATCTGGATGATCCGGATGTTTGTAACAGCCAATATGGGCATACACAACTGTGTGTGTGTGTGTGTGTGTGTGTGTGTGTGTGTGTGTGTGTGTGTAAGACTGGCCCTGAGCCAACACCTGTTGCCAATCTTCCTCTTTATGCTTGAGGAAGATTGTTGCTGACATCTGTGCCAATCTTCCTCTACTTTATGTGGGATTCCACCATAGCGTGACTTAACGAGCTGTACTAACTCCACACCTGGGATCTGAACCAGCGAAACCCGGGCTGAAGTGGAACGTGCGAACTCAACCACTAGCCAGCGGACCAGTCCCCTTACATTCTTTTTAATTAGCTAACAGACACTGAAATTCTGGAGGTGGATGAGGGTTGGCTATTTTCCTACAATCTCTGTACCAAGTTAGAAAAAAACATTCAAGCCCAGATCAAACTATCCTATATACAGGTTTTGGGGGTTTTTTTGGGGGTAAATAATAGAGAATTTAATATATGATAAGAATATTATTTCAAATCAACTACACAGCTATAAAACTGATAAAAAAGTTGTGTATTTACTTTACACACTTCACATAAAAAATTCCAGATAGATCAAAATATAATATCTAACAGACGATAAATGTAATAGAATATAAAGGCTTATTTTAGTTATGCTGTAGGAAAGGATTTCCCAAGCAAGACATGTCAACCTGAGAAATAATAAAGAAAGAAACTGAGATTTGATAGGATAAATTACAAATCTTGGTTTTTAAAAAAAAGTTTGTAAACTATGATGAAAGTCAACAAATTAAAAGAATGTATTTATATACAGGTTTTAATAAACATTTATTAGCAAGCATGCAAAAAAATTTATGCAGCCTGTTCTGTAAGGTCAATGAAGCCCCACTTGTTCCGGTAGTTCATCCACTGCTTTCTATGAAAGGTCCACTTGAGGTGAACTTAATATTGCAGAGTGGGACTGTCCTAATGCAGCAACAGGCAAACAGAAATCCTTGGACAAAATGGCAGGAAGCCAGACCATTTAGGGGTCAAGCCTCAGGCACCAGGCCAAAGGGTACAGACTACAGGCCTCAGTAGATTCTTACAGCATTTTCACGCAAGGATGGGGAACTACTATGAAATAATTTAGTTCACATATGCTGAATACCTCTAGCTTTACCAGAGAGAACCACTACTAATATCTACTATATTGATCAACAAACTACTTATTTCAAAAAGAAAGGCTACTTCAAACATTCACTCTGCCAATTATCAAAACCCCTGGTGGTGGGGCTGGCCCCGTGGCCAAGTGGTTAAGTTCGCGCGCTCCGCTGCAGGCGGCCCAGTGTTTCATTGGTTCGAATCCTGGGCGCGGACATGGCACTGCTCATCAAGCCACGCTGAGGCAGCGTCCCATGTGCCACAACTAGAAGGACCCACAACGAAGAATATACAACTATGTACCGGGGGGCTTTGGGGAGAAAAAGGAAAAAAAAAACCACCCTGGTGGTGACTAAGATATGGATGCCAGAGGCACCTGTAACAGTTGCCAGTGGCATTTCTGATTAGAGCATTAGCTGTCCACTTGTGGACTCGGAAATCCACAGGAAAGCTGCCAACTGCTGCTGGCATGCATGTAACCTGACACGTGTCTAAAAACTCTACCTAATAAATACTTGGGAAAAGAAAAAATACTGCACAATTTCCCCGATTTCTCAGAACTCAATAGATTTTGTTTCAGGTGTGGCAAGGAGCAGGCAGTGTGAAGGCAGGGAAGGAGAGAGGGAGTCTACACTTCTCTGAAAAATTCCCCACCCTAAACTGTTGAGAATGACACATGCCACCTTTTTAGCAATTCTAACTAATTCTTACTAGGACTGCTTGACAACACCACAGAAATTCTGTGGTTTCCAATAAAATCACTGTGTTACAAGACTTATTTTCATGAGAAAAGTAGAATTTAACAAATCATTTTTAAAAATTATTTTGAATCATTTCATCAATTCTAGGGAAGTACATCATCATCAAACAGGGAATAAACAAATTAAAAATGGAAAGAGATTCCTACCCATTCATGGTGAGCACAATTTTACTGAAAAGAAAATGAGAAAATCAAAAAGCAAAACTAAAGGTCTTAAAAATAAGATTATATTCTTCAACATGCAACATAGGAAATGAATTTGTAGTCCCCAAAGCACGGGCTCTGCCTGAGGAAGCGTGCCCCCTAGTGGTCTTTTGTAGGAACTAGAACAAAGTTGAACTAGTAAATTCCTAGGTCAAATTGAACACACACAAAGAGGAAATTATTAAATCAGTACCTTGATGTTAGGGTGATTTCAAAAGAATTAAACTCATTAGCTTCTGAATTGTAAATAGTTAAAGACATGTGCAGCTAAAATGAAAGTCTTAAATGTGCAAAAATGTCAGGCTTATTAAATCCATATCTATTTCAAATTCTTTCCAGGTTCAACTTCTAAAAAATACATTAGATCAAAATAAATTCAGAGCTAAATGACTAGACTTAAATAGTGACTAATAAGATGCTAGAAGATAATCTGAAAGTGGATGTTCTTTCATCTAATAAATATTTATTGAATGCCTAGCATATACTGGGCATGGTTCTAGGTGCTATACACACCAGTGAACAAAACCCCAAAATAACTGCACTGTTTTTTGTCTGTTTGTTTGTTTTTTGTTTTTGTTGTTTTTTTTTTTTGGAGGAAGATTAGCCCTCAGCTAACTACTGCCAGTCATCCTCTTTTTGCTGAGGAAGCCTGGCTCTGAGCTAACATCCGTGCCCATCTTCCTCTAGTTTATACGTGGGACACCTACCACAGCATGGCTGCCAAGCAGTGCCATGTCCGCACCCGGGATCCGAACCAGCGAACCCCGGGCCGCCGAGAAGCGGAACGTGCGAACTTAACCGCTGCGCCACCGGGCCGGCCCCTGCACTGTTAAATTTAAAGGAAAACAGTAGTCCTTGAAATGTTGACTGGTTAAATAGTTTCATAATTACGTTTTAGATCTGTTCTGTTCTTTGTGTTTAAACAAAATATTTTTGGACATTTAGTAGATCCATTCATTTCCTTCTTGAACATATACCGTACTTTACAAAACTCCAACTTACTTCGTACCAGCTGGCATCCTGAGATTGCTGGGGAGACTTATGAGTTATCAGGTACTCACCCTGGCCAGATACCCAGAATTGCACAAGGGCCTATGACTAGCGCCTGCCGCTGTTCTGGGGGAGCGTTTCTCTGAAGTGCTTGGCTGCAATAACCCCCAAACCAATTTCCTCTGATGCTATGTGGCCTATTTTAAGGCAGGGCGGTCCAAATACACCTGCAAATTTTGGTGACTATCATTCAACGGTTCTCAACTATCAATAGTACGGGGGTGCTTTTATTTGGTGGAGGGGGTGGTCACAATGATTGGCATTAGTGGTTAAGGGCCAGGGGGCTAAATGAATCCTGCAATGGGCTGGCAGTTTCTTCCCATGAAGAACTGTCCCACTCACAAGGCCCAAAGTGCCTGCCTACCTAGAGACACTGAGCTATTGCTACCTCATACAGAAACTTCATTTAAGTTAGATTTTTTTTCTACTGAAAAATAAGTCAGACAATTTTAGTATTACACTTTATTCAATATCTACATGCCACAAAAATTATTTCATTGGAAATTACCCAAGAAAGTGCAAAATCACTTAATAACTGGTTTTCTACACCTTGGTTTGGTTGAGAAACTCTTAAAGGCAAAGAGATGGTATCCAACAAGTACTTACTGCACTCAACAGTTTTGAGAACAAAAAGAAAATCTGTATCTCTGAAGACTACTTTATATCTTGTTCATAGTCTTCTTCAAAATGCATAATTTAAAAATAAATCATATAATTATTCAAACTTGTTTGGTGATGGCTAAACTTCAGAAGGTTTGTGAGGAAATGAGATGTAAAGCAATTACTTCAATGCAATTAAATGCTATTTTTAAAAAAGTATCCCTTAGAACAGTGGTTCTCAAACTTTAGCATGCATCAGAATTTCCTGGAGGGAAGCTTTTTAAACTCCTGATCTCTGGGCCACCTCAGAGCTTCTGACAAGTTCCCAGGTGACGCTCATGCTGCTGATCTGGCTACGACACTTGGAGAATTACTGCTTTAAGATGTAGTCTCCGGAATTCCAACAAATAAGCAATGACCATTTGCCTTTGCTTTTTCTAATAGTAAATAAATAATAGAACATCTCAGATATGGCTTCATCAAACTTTAAATTTTTAGACTCTTGAAATGTCCTACTTAAATAGAATAGAGCATATGATTTATTCATCTTGGCTTATGATGATTCCCATGCGTTCAAAAGACAGAACCACAGGATAGTCCAGTACCGGATAACCTATGACTACATGAAAACATTTACTTACAAAACACACAGCAACTAGTAGGCTACAGGGACCTTGCTTCCATCTCCACCACACTTCTTCCCTTTAGGAAATCCAGTAAGAAACAATGAAGTGGACTATACCCAGAATGAGAACATGACCTATCACAAATGTATCCAGAAATATCACAGTGAACTGTCATACTTAAGACTCAGATTCAGGAACTTCTTCGTCAGGGCAGCAGTAATATTCCACAAAACATATTTGCCCATCTTCATTTCTAATCATATATTGTAATGAGAGGAATCCTCGGTTATCTGTCCGAATAGATACCTTACAAGACAGGACTAATGCCTTTGTAGAGGGTTTCAGTAAAGAAATCTTGTATCTGTAGAAGAGGAAAAAAAAGCTGTTATTTGGACAACTTAAAGCAGTGCTCATACTCCAAGTAAAGAATGAAAATTAGCCAAGAACTACCAAGGAGCAAATATAAGAATAAAATCAACTACTTGTCCAATTTGCCAATATTTTCTCTTCATTTTTAAAATTTAATTCACTATTAGAACCCCAAATCCCCAAGTAAACCCAGCAACCTACTGTGGATTTTTAAATGCTACATTTTCATCAAGAGATTCAAAGTTTTTTTTTAAAAAAAATTATTTATTAGAAATTTGGTATTTAGCCTCACCTTCATCATCAGTGGCAACCTCTATATTAAGAACTGACCTGTTGACCTGAGTCTGATTACAATGAAATGATTCCATCAAATCAGAATCTTTGGGATAGTCAAGGTGGGAGCTTCCTGCATTTCCAAAAGTAGATAACCTACAGTAGAAAATGAGCAACTCATTTATTCATTTGTCCAACAATAAGCTGCTTTGGGATCCAAATAAAAAAAACTTTCCTAAGAAGCTCATTCTGGTGAATGAAACAGATATGTAAAAAATGTTGACAATACACTACAATTACCATAATAAAGATTCCCATGGGATGCTGGAGGAGTACCAGGGAACTAACAACTAATAAACAGCTTTGAAAAAAAATCAGTTGCAAAGGAATCCAGGAGTGTTTGCCTCAATTTCATTACCTTAATCCTACTGTGATACTGACCTTTCCTCATCCTTAAATCAGAACTATATAACAGAGGACAGAGTTGAGGAGTGATGGAAGACCCCGATCTACATCAGCTACAAGCCTGGAGTCCTTTACTACCACAAGCAGTTACGGCTTTTCTGTATCTTAGGCTGCTCTTCAGGCTGTTATATGGTTTTCCTTGCTTGGTAATATCAGCAGTTTGTGTGTCGACAGCTTACAAATGTTTATATGCTTACTTAATCTGCAAGAACTCATCGATCATTTGATACAGGGTTAGCACATTGATGAGTACTATATGAGCACAGTGAGAGAAGACTAGGTGCTGGTTTTCCTGAGGATTCATCTTTTCTCTTCTAACATGACCTCTTTCTCTGAGCCATCTCATCCATGTCCAGCCACCATGAGGGCTCCCAAACCTAAATTTCTAGTCTAGGCTTATCTCCTGAGCTCTCTAGCCATACATCCAACTGCTCCCCAGCATCACAGGCACCTCAAATTTTACTCAGAAAAATTTACTCTCAGTTCCCGACCACCAAATCATTTCCCATACTGAGATGAAACATACCATGATCCATCTAATTAGCCATGCTGAGAAAGATCATTTAAATGAGGACCCTCTGAAATACTCTGTTAAAATGCCCAGAATTTTAATTCATATCACTGCCTAAGTAGGGTTCCACTGGCTTCCATTTTGGTTAACATTTTAACCAATCCTGAGCCAAATTTTTAACTGCCTAATGCTATGAGAAGGGCCTGCAGTTCTTCTAAAGTAGATATATAGAGAACAACTTATACCTCTTCCATATGTATTTAGCTCATTTACTCTTTAATCTTCTGAAATATTTCAAAAGAGAATATTTAAATCCTCTCTCCAAACTGATTCTAATCTTGAAAAGACTTGCCACCTCATAACTTGGTGGGTCAGAATATCAGGAGCAGATTGATGGTTTTTGACATTGGATTCCTGCCAAAAATTGCCCTCTCTTAGGAAGCTTACCATGACCAATTCTCCCTAAGTACTCATCTACTGGTTCCTTAAGTATTTATATATACTATTTGGTACTTAAGTGCGTGCAATTTTGTTCTTTCTACGCTGTTTCACATAACTCCTCTTCACCTTGATTTTAAGCTGTTCCTGTTGTGCTTAATAAGGTAGCTATGCACATAGCAGGTGACCAATAGATACTAGTGAATGAACTGTGTATAGAAAACATCTTTCTTTTCCATCCTGTACTAACCTGAAAGGAAAAAAAAGAGATGTACCATATAATACAAACACCTTTTCCAAAAGTTTAAGCCCAGTTTTCCTCAGGACGTAACTTGATCTAAGCAGTAAGCAATACAACAATGCAAAGACCACTAGTTTCTGAATTAGGAGTTGCACTACTCATCTAGAAACAACACTACATAATGATGAAGCTTTAGTGAGCTAATCTTCCTGGGTCTTAAGCTTCCTGATCTGTAAAAGTATGCGGTAAGAGTAAAAGCTCTCTAAAGTTCTGGAAATTCTCAGAAGCTGGATAATAAAAGTTCTGCATCCTAAGCAGAGGTGGAAGTAGAACATTCACCATCACTGCGCTGTGTTCAAGTACCTGAAATAAGGCTTGTCAGGAGACATGGTGATCTGCAGGACCTCACTCGTCATATCCAATTCGGAAAACGCTTCACGGAGCCCCTCTGACTGCAGAATAACTTTATTAACAACATTAGTGCTGCAGAAATCAAAATCCAGAGTTTCCTCGGGCTCCTGAGTATTGATTTTACAGACTGTCACCACTCCTCCTTCTTCCAGAAACAGCATCAAAGGGTAACCATACCCTTGGTAACACATCCGAAGTGCAGTTAAAGTGCCTGCAATAGAAACAAATCACACTCTGGGCTTAGCTTTACAGCTCTGGGGTCAGCTTCTCCTCAACTGATACAGAAAACGCCGCAAGAATACTTTATTCTGCCCAATTTCTAGCATATAGGTATGTATCTCCTTATAAGAAGGGATTACTTCTTCCGTAATGACAACTGTGTGTAGATAATTCCAAAAATAACTGCAAGAAAATTGGGAACCAGAACAAGATGTAATCTAACTCTTTGAAATCATTTTCCATTTTGCCAAAAACACCTCAGAAATAGCTTATTGATTTTATATATATACAGTTTCAGGATGGAGAATCTACATGGACCATTACTCCAAGTAATGGAATTGTTGCAGAACAGGTCATGCTATTTCTTGAAGGTTCACTTTGTGCAACAGTGGAGTGCTTTGACATTGTCTGTACTATAATGTCAGTATATTCACTATGATAAAGACCCTTCTAACCTCTTCCATTGGAAGATATTCTTTACATTTCCTCAAATTTTAAGATCAAATTAGGAGAAAAAGAGAGGGTGATTAATGGTGGTGTGGGTTTTGACACTGCAAACCACTAGAGAGAAGGAGGAATATGACAGGCTAGTCTAGCTCCTTTCCCTTACTGGATGGAGAGCCACAGTGAGGAATGGGGGAAAGAAGATGCTTTTATGAAAAACCACCTGGGGAACACGGCATTAGAAAATGTAAAATTAATAATAATGGAATTGTCAGTACAAAATTAAAACATATTTTCTAGAGAACAACAACTGAATTTTCCCTAGCTAATTTGCACATTTCTTTCCTATGAAATAAAACCATTCTTCTGGGGGTTCCTTGTAGTTTTATTTTTATATCAATAGCAACTGAATTCACTATTCTAAAAAACATTCCTATTCCCTAAACAAATAAAAAATATGTATATTTTAAAGGAAAGCATTTAGGAAACTAGTCATAACTTACAAACAGGGCATAAAGAAAAAAAGGAAACAAATTTTGAACACAGTAAACCATAAGTCAGGAGAATTGGTTTCAATTTTTCTCTGCCACTAACTGTAATTCTGGACAAGTTAGGAAAAAGAAGCAATTAAAACTTATTTCACAATGTTAAAGATACTTAAGACATGTTCAAAGTCTTCTTTTGGTCAGTTCAAATTTAAAATCCCAAAAGCTTTGTAAATTAAAAGATGAATGTAAATATTTTTGCGAACATGGGAAGAATGATAAGCACACTTTCTATTTTATTGTGAAAATTCAGAATCCATGATTGTGAACAATGAAAAATGAATTGGCAATTAACTTTCTAAAGAAATGTTTATATTACTTATATTCTAATAACTTTTCCTGTATTTTTCTGACCATTCTGTATAATGCTTTTATGTCATTATAATGATAACAAAATGGTTCACCTGGCATAGGACTTGATCCAAAAATAGATAAACAGTCTAAAAGGACAGTTAAATTAATTCGAAAAGTAACAGACTCTTCCTGAACTGTAAACTCTTGAAATATTCCAGCCTGTGAAAAAAAGTAAAGATGAAAACGTAATTATGTATATCAAAGAATGAAAACTCACATAAGGTTCTAGATTTCATTTTATATGTTTAAAAAATAACAACATTGTGCTGACCCCATGAAAATCATTTCTGAATACTAATCAAAACATCATAAGCTTTTTCCGTTATTATCCATTAGAATACGTACTCCTACTCAATAGTTAAATGTGCAACAGTGATTTAGGTCCCATGGAAAACTTTATGAGGGGTCCTTCATCTAGCTTCTTGGATCTATACTCTCTCTCACATGAGTCTCCCTCGTCTCCTTTTTGTGCCCATCAGGATGGCTAAGGTCACTTGGAAAAATTGCCAAATAACCTGATAATGCGTGAGTGATATTAGTTTTCAATTTCTTTTAAGGACAGGAACCATGTCTTATTTATCCCTCTATACCTGAGGTCATACTGTGCACTTAAGTGTTCACATAAATGCTAAATTAAATCTGAAATCCTATCTGAACCATACAAATCTTACTTTGTAATAAAAGATTCTATTATAAACAATAAAAGAAAAAAGTATTTTTTTAATAATAGGGAGGTAGAGGTAAAGAGCATGTACTCTGGAAACAAATGTTCTGGGTTCTCTTCCCAACTCAGCCACTTCCCAGCTGTGAGACTGTTTGCAAATCATTTAATCTGTGCCTCAGTTTCCACATGTAAAATGGGAATAATAAGAGAACCTACCTTATAGGATTATTACTGAAGATGAAATGAGTTAAACATAGAAACACTCAGCAGAGTGCTTGCCCTACAGTTTAGCTTAATATATTTTAGACATTCTTATTAACCATTATCTCTAAAACAAGATGGGAAAAGAATTTGTTACCCGGAGGGAAAAAGATTCAAATAACGATACACTGTTCTCTAACTTAAATGATGTGTATTAAGACCTTAGGAATTCATTAAACTGGGTGAAGAATATCATATGTCACAGGCTTAAAGGTGCCTCCTTCCATACCTGAATAAAAGCATTTGCTTGCACACACTTTGCATTTTCCACTGTAACCTTGATTCCATTTTTAGTGGCGAAACAAGTGGCATGTTCCCGGAAATGAATAGCCTTCAAGACAGTGGAGAGATTCCTAACGTTGTCAAGGCTGGCCACTAAGCTGTAGTCATTCTCATCTTGGATCTGTTGGGTTAGGAGGGGCATCGTCCACGGCACATTCGGCCCCGAGGGATGCTCCTGGTGCCAGCACCTGCTCCCGGGGATCACGAAACACCTGATGAGATTCGACCATAAAACTCCCCATCAGTGCTGGCGAGGCCCACGATCTCAACCCGCCCTGAGGCAAGTGGGAGAGGCCGGGGCGATGAACTCGGTCGACCAGGATAGAACCCCACTTCTGCCACTTAACTGTCCCTGTAACTTTGGGAGAAGTTATTTATCTTTCTATCTTATCTATCTTACTAATGACAAGTTTCCTTGTCATTAGTAAGGGGACAGTAACACATGAAAAGTTGCGAACAATTAAAATAGACACCTAACTCGGTAGTTCTCCTTGGGGCCAGTTTCGCCAGGCCAAACAGGGGCTACGCATCCCCCCAAAGTCGGTTTTGAGCTGTCCGGCGCCCCCAATCTCGCCTCTAACACAATACGCGATCGGAGGCGCGCCCCGGTCCCTCGGAGGATCCTCCAGGAGTCTCAGACAACTCCGCTCACTGGCCCGCCGCGGGGCAGCACGTTGACTGACGCGGAGACCCTACCTTTGCGGCGGAGTCCGGACGCCTGAAAGCCCTTCTCAGCCAGGTCACCGGGAAAGCGAGCTCCCGGGAAAACCAGGAGGAAGTGGAGCGGCTCCCGCCACTCTTTTCGGACCAGCAAGCCACCTCGGCCACCGTCACCACAAAGCTCCCGAGGCCTAGAGAGCCGAGCGTACACTACCACAGAGACCGGAAAGAGGCACCATAGAGCTGAAGGATGACCACAGAGCCGGCGCACGCTACCATAGAGATCGGAAAGGGGAGCGAGCGGCTGAGCCGGAAGGAAGGCCGAGAGCGAAGGCGGCAAGGCAAGATGGCGGCGATCAAGAGGAAACGGCGTGGAGGCTTGGCGGTTCAGGCGAAGAAACCAAAAAGAAACGAAAAAGATGCTACGCCGACAGCTAAGCGGCGCGACATGGCAGAGGAGGCGGAGGAGGAAGACAGAGACCGTATCCCAGGCCCCGTTTGCAAGGTAGAGAGGGCTACCACCGGGTGACACCTGCGGTCGCGGCTGCACGCGCCTTGCCTGGGGCTGCCTGCCTGACGACCGCTCTGCTGTTTTCAGAGTTGCCCGGTGTTACGGGAGCTCGGTCTCAGTTCTCCTCTGGGTCAGATTGGCCACCACGTTTACGTCTAACCCTTGTGCACATGGCCGCCCTCTCGGAGGCGGCCGGCTGAACAACGGGGCCGACTTCAGAGCACTTACCCCGTTCGCAGGGAAAGGACTTAACGGAGTCCTCAGTTCTAGTGTTCTGTCTTCTAGTTACTCCGTTATCATTTTTTTTAGAGGGCATTATTTTTCCTGAAGTTATTTCTCGCTATCGAGCATCTCTCTCCCAGTGATTGGTATTTTCATGTCCTGCCGTAGTCAGCTACTGTCAGGGCACCTGACCCTTGTTATGCGGTTCTTTAAAAAGTTGCTGTCCTTGGAACAGTGCCTTGATTTGTTTGATCAGGTCTTTAACTCAAGAGATAATGAAAGCTAGACTAGATAGCATGAGCTCTTTTTGTATTCGACAGACTTTTAACGTGCCAGGCACTATATGAAGTTAGGTTATCTTTGGCTTTGGGATTGCAAAACTAGAACGTGACCCCTTCCTCCTGAGATGTCGGAGTTTAGAAGGAACTAAGAATTCACATAAAAGTGAATGGTTTTTGTTCAAAAGAAGGTGAACACAAGTTATTGTACCTAACTTTAATTCAGCTGAAAGCTCCTTAAGTAAAAGCTACATCGAATACTGTAGAGACAAGGATGGCCTTTGACTTATTAATTTCCCCCGCGCTTGGCAATACTCTAGCATATAGGAAAAATCAGTGACCCTGTGTGATGTGGTGGCAAGCACTAGGAAAGGAATTAGCTCCGAGGAGTAAAGATGAGTTTAAATTCCAGCCCTGCTGTTAACTGACAGGCACATTTCGAGCTCTTTTCTCATCTGCAAATTAGGAGGAAGAAAATGTGATTTACTTTTTGTGAAGAATAAGCTGGACTTGTAGTAAACTTTCCATAAATGTTAGTGCTCTCACTCTTCACTTAAGGAACTAGAAAGAAATATGTTAGTATTGTAGGGGAAGAAGACATTTCCTCTACCCGCTCTGGGTTCTTCTGGCCGGAGAAATGAATTAAATTCACGTGAGACCGAATAACAGGAGAAAATTAAACAAAGCTTTATAACATGTACACATGGGAGAGGCTCAGGCAACCTGAGCAACTCGCCAAAATGGCTGAAGTCAACACCTTAAATATCATCTTCAGCTAAAGACAAAGGAGGATGTTGGGGGTGGGGGGAGTCAGTTTCAGGAGGTTACCAGACAAGTACAGCAAACAAGAGTAAGATTATTATGCAGATTTGAGTCCTTGCCTTCCACGTTGATGAGAGTTTCTAGAGATATGATCATCCCTCCTTCCTGGTATAGAGAGGGAGACACCTTTACAGAGGAAGATTTCCTTTACAATGTAAATGTCTCTTAACAAAGGGTCAGTAAATTCTACTTTTCAGAGTTTCTTTCCTGTCTGCAGTTTTTTAAATGTAACCAGCCCCAAATAATCCTCATGCTGAAGAGACATATCTTGGGGTGGCCAATTCCAATCCCCCACAGTCTCTATGGTCTTAGTCATAATATGAGAAATTCAATGGAAGTGTAGAAGATAAGATCACTTTTACCTGAAGGTAATCAGGTAAGGGATCATGAATAATTTAGCCTTGGAACTGGATCTCAAAGGAAGGGCAGGATTTTGATATTCAAAAATGAGAGAGAACAAGACCAGGGAGAGGGGAAAAAACTGATCAGATGTGTTGAAGTGGAAGAAATGCTGAAAATCTAAAAAATAGAGCCAGGTTGGCTAAAGTGTAGGGTTGATTTGGGCAATAGTGAGGTAAAAACATAAATGTATTTTAAAATCCAATGTCAAAGTTATGTCATTTTGGAGTTTGTTTAGAAAATCCTAGGAGGTTAAGGATGTGATTGGAGCAGTGCTTTAAAAAGGTTAAGCTGGTGCTAGTCTTGCCATAACTATCGGAGGAGCTTCTGTTTGGGAACACTAGCCATTTAGGAGATTTAAGATTATAAGGATCTGAACGAGGGCACTGTGAATAAGAAAGGATTAAGAGTTATTGCAAAGACAAGTTGACAGATTTAGTAGTGTTTATGATATGGGAGAATAAGGGCAAATGGAATGTTCAACGCCTAGGGGACTGAAATGAGGGGTGGCATCATCAGAAAAACAAATAGGAAAGTTACTGGATTTAAGGTTTAGTATTCTAGAGTTGGATTTGAAGTGTTGAGTCAAATACTTGGATTATTAGTGCTCCAGAGAGTTCCTTACCTTTCTGTAGAGTTGACAGTCGAAGCTATGGGAATGATTATGAGAACTCAGTCCTGGAGAGAACAGAAACAAAAGAAGGCTAAGAAAGAATCTTTAGAGTCAAGAGGAGGAATTGGAGACATGGAAGAAGAAAAACCAAAAAGAAGTCAGGGAGAGCATTTCTGGGTGGCAGCTGTGGCCAGTGAATGCTGCTGAGAGATTGAATTAAAGGGGTCAGGATTGTTTGCCTTGCTACCTGGAGGCTTTTTATGAATATTATTGTGTCTCTCTATTTACCTTATATATAAGGAGTTAAATTTTCCATTGGCAGTGTTATTTCATTAGAACTAAGTGCTGTCTTTAGCTTGCTGCTGCTTTAGATAAGGAATCTAATTTTTGTCTATAACATAAGCCAAAATGGGGACTTGTAAAGGTTTCCTTTCTTGCTTCATCACATGGTGTTTTGCCACTTATGGCCTATGTGACAGACATGTTGTGGTTGTCTAAGGGTTTCATGCTATTCATGCCTCCCTGCCTTTATTGATTTGCTTCTTTGTTGACCATCTTCCCACATAAGAACAGTGCCTGGCTCCTGGTAGGAACTTAGTAAGTAGTGAATTAATATTAAAGTGCTCTTGTGCAAGAAATATGGAACGAGGAGTCCATTCTGATTTCAAGAGTGGAAAGATTTTGTGTATAGTGAAACATCTCAGTTCCCTGAATTACACATACAGGGAGAGAGGTGGAGTTATGGCTATAGTCTTGATAAACTAGAGGATGGTAGGGTATTTAAAAAGCTGGATACTTTTAAAACTATCTTTAAAAGAACGAGATAGGTTCAGTGTGAGATTTTAAAATCTTTTAACATTTTCTTTTTCTTTAGGGCAAGTGGAAAAATAAGGAACGGATTCTCATCTTTTCTTCCAGAGGAATAAATTTCAGGACAAGACATTTAATGCAAGACTTGAGAATGCTGATGCCTCATTCTAAAGCAGGTGCCTTTGTATCATATACTGTAAACATTTACTTTTATAAACTTACCTATTTATATATTTCTACTTCAAATCACACTTCATTTGTTCAGCCTTGTCAGGTAAAGAACCACAATGCCTCAGAAGTTTATCTTTTCAGTGCCAAGATTTTTCCAATTAACATTTTGTTAGAAATTCTTTGCAAAATTCATTAAAATTCTCTTCACTTCCTTAAACAGATATCATAATATTATCAAAACATTTCTTGAAGGTCCAGGAATGCCTTCATTATAATGCTCTCGGAGGTCATGAGCTGGTTTGTCTTTCTAAATGATTCAGGACTGCCTTCTATTGCTTTCTGCATCTTTTTAAAAAACTGTTCTTATTAAAAAATTAATGGACCTGGAGTATGATTTGAAGGACCTTTAAGTTGGGCTCAGCCTACTTCTAAAGGCCAAGCTATTCTTTTTAGGAATGGGGTGTCTTGCAGGCGAGTGAAGAACATCTAGTTTTTAGGGTAGAACTGAGGCATTGCTGTCATGCAGCTGTTTTTGTGCCTGTATTGGGAGGTGCTTTTGGTTTTAATTCTAGGTAATCCCTTAGTTCTTTAGACTAGTGTTTCTCAAACTGGGGTCTGCTGTTAATATCTTTAGATTTCTGAAACTAATAAGAGAAATCTGAATTTATATAAATTTTTTCTATGATAATGTAAAACTAGTTTTTATCTGTTTTCTTTGGCAACTATGATTCAAAATTTTAAGAAATATTCTTCCATTCAAATTTTATTTTTTTCAATGAGTGTTCCTTAAACTGGAGTCCTAGAACATAGCCCTTGGTTTGTGACAATGTTTCCATTTTTGAAAGGAATTCATGGAATACAGAAAGTCTGAGAAACACTGCTTAGAACATAGTATATAATTCTTGAGGACTGTTTTTTAATCACTCATTTTTACACTTACAAAGAAGATTTTTAAAGAGGTCATGTGTTTTCAGATCTAATCATTTTGAAATTAATAAAATCTTATTTAAACTGAAGATTATAAAAACACTTAGAATAATTTTCTAGAAAGCTTGTGTGATTGGATTGAAGTAGCTTTGAAATCTTTTATTTACTTGCTTTTTCTTTTTTTCTTTTTATAGATACTAAAATGGATCGTAAAGATAAGTTATTTGTGATTAACGAGGTAATTTCAGAAAGTAATAAAAGTAAAATATTCTAGGAACACTGTTATTTAGAAACAATATTTTGGAACACTAAAGATAGTTCATATAAAAAATAGGTCAGTTATTCAATGACTTCTAAATTGTTTTGTAAAAGATACTTATAAAAATGTTAACTTCAATAATCTGCCTTCTAAATTTATATAGTACTCACTGTCTATATCTCATAGTTTAGTGCTTCAGTATATATTATTTCGTGATCATTCTTATATTTGTCTCAACAAGCATATTGAAATTTCCTGAGGACAAGGATTATATTTCATTCTTTTTTTTCTCATTATGTCTAGTACAGTACTAAATTCATAGTAGGTACTCATAAAAAACTATCATATATAAAACAAAATTAAAAGACCTATTAAATATTCCCAAAAAGCCACATTGTAAAAATATTTTGCCAGTATTAAAAGTGATGTATGTGGTGTTTGCTCTTGAGGTGTTACAAACTAGAAATAGGTTAAATTTTCAAAGTATTGTTGAAGATAGTAAACTTACATCTTAAAGTAAATTTTTAAAAACTTAGAATTGTTTTAAGATAATTCTCTTTAGCTGTATATGAAAGGTTTCTTTTATTCATTTAGCACAAATTTTTGAACTTCAGCTATATGATGGCATTATTATGCATGCTGTGGAAACATGTTTAACAAAACAACGCCCCATTATCATGGAGTTTACGTTCTAATGGGGGAGACAGGCCATAAACAAGTATTGTAATTTCAAGTGAAGGTAGGAGAAATAAAACAGGGTATGGGTTTCCAGCAACTGAGGCTCAACTGGAAAACAACCAACTTAGTGTTGTGTTTATTCTAAGACAAGTGAGAAATAAAACATTGTATCTAAGAATCTTTTAAGTTATTAGGTTTGAAGTCTCAAGTAGTTTAGAGTTTGTGGACACTATATTAGATAGTGTATGAATGTTACACCAATTCAAGACTTCATTCCTGTATTGCTTTTATATATTTCTCAAGTGTGACTGTGTAAGCTTTCAAGATGCTGAAGTTTAATTCAGCTGGAAATAAGTTTTGTATGCTTCTGCCTTTCATCAGTCCCTTAGTGATTTTATAGAAGCAAGTCACAGAAGTGATAATACAGATGAGGAAGAAAAGACTTAAATTTCTTAAGGTTAAAATCAAAAAGCATGGGGCTGGCCCGGTGGCACAGCGGTTAAGTTTGCACGTTCTGCTTCTCGGCGGCCCGGGTTTGCCGGTTCAGATCCTGGGTGCAGACATGGCACCGCTTGGCAAGCCATGCTGTGGTAGGCATCCCACATATAAAGTAGAGGAAGATGGGCACAGATGTTAGCTCAGGGCCAGGCTTCCTCAGCAAAAAGAGGAGGACTGGCAGTAGTTAGCTCAGAGCTAATCTTCCTCAGAAAGAAAAGCTGAGGAGTTAAAAATCATACCTATTACTAAAGGATGGCTTTGGTTCTCTAAGGACTATATTTTCTTAAGATTGGTGAGGCTAATTGTAGAGTACTGTTTCCCTAGGGCGTTTGTTGTCGGCCTTGTAATTTGTAGTTTGTGCATGGGACTGTAGTCAGAAGAAGAGGCTCCCAGTAATGAGAAGTGAGGCCAGTTACTTTAAAATGCTAGGCCAAAAAGAATCCATGCTTCTACCAAAGAGCTGGACAGAACATCTACTTTACCTTGGGCAGAATACCTAAGAGGAGCTTGAAGCATTTTTTTCTGTGAATAAATAAATTTATTTAGATTTAGACCTTTGTAGCTTATTAACCTGCTTAAGTATTTTTGGCAAAATCTAGATATTGATTGCATATTGTTATAGTCATTTTTGTTCACTATTTCGTTTTTCTATACTTTGCCCCATTTAGGTTTGTGAAATGAAAAACTGCAATAAATGTATTTATTTTGAAGCTAAGAAAAAACAGGATCTCTATATGTGGTAAGAGAATGTATTAATTAAGACTTGGTGGAACTTGTTTTTTAAAATGGATTTATTCTTTGTACCTCTTAAGTTATAGGCTCCTTTCAGTCTTTATGTAAAAAGATGGGGCCAGGGAATGAAGCAAACTCATTTGAGTTCACAAAAGTTGGAACCTTTAAAGAAAATTAAATATATGACTATTACGAGCATATAATGGTGTCTTTTAAACTGAAAAGGTAGTAAGCATTTACGACATTCTAAGTTCTAATTAGTTGAGAAAGCTTCCTTCATATTTTTCAGGCTGTCAAATTCACCTCATGGACCATCTGCTAAATTCCTTGTTCAAAATAGTAAGTTGACTCGATTTAAAATTTTTTATGAGAAAATTGAAGTAATCTTTTGGGATAATTGTGCCAGTTATAATTATTTTTGTTGTTATACTTTTCCTAGTTCATACCCTAGCTGAACTGAAGATGACTGGAAACTGTCTGAGAGGTTCTCGACCCCTTTTGTCCTTTGACCCTGTAAGTTTCTCACTTAGTGTGTGAGATCTAACTTTCTTACTCTGCATGGTGGTTTTTTAGTGGATATAGTTATATAATTCAATTTAGTTAACGTTAAAAACAACAAGCACAATTTTAGACAAAACAGTCGCTGTTGTTAATATGTTCACTTTATTTTTATAGGCTTTTGATGAATTACCACATTATGCTTTGTTAAAAGAACTCTTAATTCAGGTAAATATCTTTTCTGGAAAGTATTTTTAGTAATATGTTATAAATGGGTGTCTTCCTTTGGACTTTTTGTTAACTTAGCTACCTAAAACACGTGATATGCCATAGAATAAGGAACTAACATGTCTTTTTTTTAAACCAGATCTTTAGTACACCACGGTATCATCCCAAAAGCCAACCATTTGTGGACCATGTGTTTACTTTCGCCATTTTGGATAATAGGATATGGTTTCGGAACTTTCAGGTTAGCTTTAATTAATTTTTGATTATGCTTTGAAATAAATTAGGACACAGCATTTATAGACACAGAATAGTAACTCCTTTTGTTTTAAATATCTTTCTTTTCCCCACAGAGTAGCAGCAAATAACTACTGTCTCATATCTTGAGTGATCTCTACCTACTTCTTTTCATGGCTATCAGTTGATAATGCAGTGTGAGTTTTCTAACAAGTCACTATATATTCAGTAAAACATAAGGTTCTCTCCCAAGGGGTTAGAATCTCTTGGTGGCGAGGGGAGGTTAAGACTTAGAAAAACATAACCCCTGTAGAAGGCATTCAGTGAGAACTATTAGGTGAGTCATACAGTGACTCATTCAGGAGGAGAGATGATTCTGGAAATCTTGAAGCAGAAGTTTGGCAGAATAATAAGTCTGCACAAAAGTGGAGAGGTGGAAGAGAACAGCAAGATAAAATTTCAGACAGCATATAAAGTAAACTGGGCTCCTTTCTGTGTTATTTTGGGTACCTGGCAATGTGACTTAAATATAACCTTCTTAACCTCTGAGGGCAGATATAGCTGAATCAACACATTATTTGTAGTTCAGAAGTGCCACAATCAGTACCTATTCAAAAATTAATTTGGCCATGTATCCTTTTATATACCTTTTAAATTTGAATTAGATTTACAAAAACAATTTAGGGGTTGATTTAAATTTTAAAAGGATCCCTGTAGGGTGCTTTAATACAATTTGTTATAGTGGTCGAAGTTTAAAAAATTCATTTAACCACAATATTTGCATTGTGAGAAACAGGATATGGACTAAATTGGACTTACTCAATTTTATTTTTTTTGCTGAGGAAGATTCTCCCTGAGCTAATATCTGTTGCCAGTCTTCCTCTTTTTTGTATAAAAGCTGCCACCACAGCATGACTACTGACGACTAGTGGTGTAGGTCCTCTCCTGGAAACCAACCCCAGGCCAGAGTATGTTGAACTTAACCACTAGGCCATCGAGGCTGGCCCCAAAATTATTCAATTTTAAAAGAACACACTGAAAATATTTATATTTTCCTATGACAACTACCTGTAACTAGTAATATATTTCAGAAAATATTGATGATTTGATGCTTGCCAAGTTTCAATTCCACCTTAATTTTATTATGAGTTCTTTTAGGCACATTTGTAATGAAGTTATAGCCAGTATACCTTTCAGGAATAGTATATCCAAACCAAAATGAATTGTTTTTTTATTAAAGATCATAGAAGAAGATGCTGCTCTTGTAGAAATAGGACCTCGTTTTGTCTTAAATCTCATAAAGATTTTCCAGGGAAGTTTTGGAGGACCAACTTTATATGAAAATCCTCACTACCAGTCACCAAACATGGTAAGCTGTTTTTGTTGTTCAGTGGTCCTCAATGTCCCAGAATTCTGGCCCAAATGTCAAGTAATTATTGTTCTGTTAACTGTGAAACTGAATTTGGTTTTGCTGCATACAGTCTTGTAAATTACTATTTTTTAAATGACACAGGGAGAAGGGAAATAGCGTTCATAAGTGAATATCATTGGCATATATAGTCTTTACTTTTATTTCAAAAACATGTTTGTTTCTAGCATCGGCGTATCATAAGATCCATCACAGCTGCAAAATACAAAGAGAAACAGCAAGTGAAAGATGTGCAGAAGCTGAGAAAGAAAGAACCAAAGACTATTCTTCCACATGATCCCACTGCAGATGTTTTTGTTACACCAGCTGAGGAAAAACCAGTAGAAATACAGTGGGTAAAACCAGAGCCAAAAGTTGATTTGAAAGCAAGAAAGAAAAGGATTTACAAAAGGCAAAGAAAAATGAAACAGAAGATGAACAGTGGAAATACAAAATGAATTAATGGATAATTTGTTTTCAGTTATTTTATATTTATTTTGTATTCCATGTGTAAATACTTTTATTATCCAGGACTGTCTTATTTTTAATTAGTGTGGCATTTAAAAGAAAGGAAAATTAAAATCTTGTGGCTTCAGTGGTGTCTGTGTTTTTTCAAATATCACCAGAACTCATCAGTTAACTTCTGTCTGTCGTTTTAAAGCTTGTATGGTATTACTAAAAATGTAGCACATTTAAAGTTTAGGCTTGCTCTCTCATTAAAATTTTGGGCTTAGCAAAACTGAAATTTAAACACGTGTATTGGGTCATTATTGTAAGACATAGCATCAGGCCCTTTGCTTGTAGAGCATAGTTTTGGATGGTAAAGTGCGGGTAGACTGGATGCAAGGAAAACATCTTACTGAAGTTTGGGTCTTTGAGTCACCAATTAATGAGGCCTCTCGGAAAAGCAAATCTCTGATTTTGTTTTCTCACCTGGAAAAAGAATACAGTAAAAATTCTTAGGTTTTGAGAATCAAATGAGTTAATACATGTGTTGAAAGCATTTTGTAGGTTATAAATTTAATTTAGAAACAGTGGGTATAAACTATTAAATTAAGAGTAAAAGGAAGAAAAGTGCGACAGTTGTTAGCACTAGAATATTTGAATTTCTCCCCTTACGAAAGAACTTTGTTTGAAGCAAAGAACACTGAGCTTAAGGTCCTGGGAGTGGATTAGTAACAGGGAAAGACAAGATTCTGGGTGCCAGTGGCCTTGAACAGGTGGGCGGCTGCTGAGGAGATGGGCAGATAGATATGCCATACATGTTAGTAACTAATAAAATTGGATCATGGATGTGGTGATTTGTCACCATTTTATTTCACATTAATCATTTTCGAATGTCTTTGTTATATATATAACATGATTAACTGCACAGTATTCCACTCTATACCATAGCTGTATAATCAGTCCCTTAGTGTTGGATATTTTCAGTTGTATCTTTTTCTGGTATAGGTGCTTGCAGCAAATGTTATGTAAATTACTTTGTACAACACTTGTGGTTTCCTATAAGTGGAACTCAGGTCCAAAATTATTAACATTAAGACATTTTGATTGTTCCTCTAAATATTGTACCTCATTAGAGGTTACAGTGTTCATTTCCTTGTGCCCCTGTCAATGGTGAAATATGTCATTTTGATAGGAACAAAAATGAGTACTCTTGGCTAGGTATTGGTTTTTCTTTTGTGACTGATGCTTTTGTGTAGTAGATATCTTTTACTAATTTGTAAGAGCTCTTTTATATAGAAAGGTTATTCTAGATGTCTTTCCTAGTTACCACTTGCCTTTTATGGCTTTATTTTAAACCTGTGTAGACAGGATGAATATTATATTTCATTTTTTCCTTAGTTTTCTGCTAAGAAAGCCCTTGAGTGTATAATTAGGCTACTTTATCTTGAAAGAGTCTAAATTAGGCTACTTACCTTGAAATCATCTACATTACGCAGGTAATTCAGGTCAGAGGTTCACTTGAAATACTTGTATGTGGCTGATGAAAGCCAAATCTGGTTAAGCGGCGGGGGGTGGGGGGGGCATTATTTATTTGGGCAATTGAATATAACCTTGGACAAAAACAAGACAGCTGTATTCAGGATTTGTTTTTAAACACCCACATCTCAAGAGGTTAATTATAGGTTATAAACATAAACTGGATCAACAAGTTGTGAGTTTGAGTGAAGAACTAAACTTTTATACTTTTTGATGTGTGCGTAGAGTTTTAGTGGAATTTCCATTTAACAATTTTGATTATCAGTTTCCATGTACAGACATTTTCCTATCCCAAATTACTTCCCTTTCGTAGTCATTTATATGGACACTTCATTTGAGAATTCCTCATTTCCCAAGTCCACGTTCATTTAGAAGTCCATCTGTTGAAAAGATGTTCCTTTAGACAAATTTATATCCAGTGTAATTGTCTATAAATTTCTATACAATGTTACAGGCAAAAATAAATCCCTCTTCCCTCGGGAGGAAAAAGAGGCAAGTGACTCTCAGAGGTTGTAAGCAAAACCAGATGTAGTTGGGGGAAGAAAAACGTCCTTTTGTCACTTTTTGTCTGTCCTCCCCCATCCATTCTCAGATGGGGAAAGGTCCCATTTTTTTCTGTACTCAAACTTCTCAGTCCCTATTCGTTACCAATTTACAAATGAACTAGGGCCAGATAGCATCTTCCTTCTTCGGAAAAAAGGCAGGTGTATGAATTTTGAGGAGCGGGTTGGTTGGACCGTGGTGTGTGGAGAAACTTGATGAGGTTTAGAATGGGTTTGATTGTGCAGGGGGCAGGATATTAGGGAAGAGAGGGACAGCCTTCCTAAACTGAGTACTCGGACCCCGTACAATAGATGTTTGTCAGCAACGGAGCCAAACTTTCTCTCTTGAACCATACATGGTTGACAAATAGCACCTACACCTAACAACCGACGTATATAAACATTCCACATTACAATGAAATATATTGGTATATTGATGCATTTTAATGACAATTAGGATATGTTTTGATACCTTATCAAATTTGGTGGAACAGTTTTACAGATCTTCCATCCTGTAATACAGTGTATCAGATCAGAAGAAAACTACTGGTTAAATATTATCCCTTAACTGCATTCTTAACCTAAACTAGTCCTAGAAATGTAGGATTAGAGGCCAGAAAGTTAGAATTAAAGTGTGCTGGATGAATGGGTCAGCACAGTTTCATCCACATTGGTGGTAAAACATTTAGTATGTTATTTTAAAATGTGTGTTCCCTCAAGTCGTTTCAGTTTAAGTCATCTTATTTACTGTTATTTCTCATGCATATTGGTCAAGACGAGCAATATTAGAGATCTCGTTAAGCGGCAGCTGAAGAGAATTGAAAATAGTTTAAAAACCTGTTGTTCGGTCCAATCGCATCCTGCCATTGGCTAGTTGGGGGGGCTCGAGCAAACCACTTCACTACTTCGAGGCTGCGTTGCCTCATCTGTAAAAACGGGGCTGGAATTGAGAAATTATCATCAAAACCACAAGCTGTTTTCCACAGTCTTCTCTCATCAGACTCCTATCTCCGCCCTCATGTTGCCTGCCCAGCTCGTGCCACGCACTCTGACGCCACTCTGTGTCCCTCACAATGACCCTCAAAGGGGGCCCGCCTGCCGCTGCCGTGGCCCCGCCTCCTCCCTGCCGAGGCCCCGCCTCCCGCCCGCCGCGGCCCCGCCTCCCTCCCGCGCGGCTTCTCCGGAACAGGCCCTCCCCTCGCCCATGCGGAGCCGCGGCCGCTGGCCCCGCCCCCTCCGCGCGTCCGCGTGCCGCAGCCCTCGCCGCCGGTCCCCGCCGCGCGCCTCCGCTGCCCCGCGCCGCCGCCGCCGCCGCCACCGCCGCGCTCGCTGGCTGGCCCGGTGCGGGCGCCGGGCTCCCGCCGCAGGGGAGGACCACCAGCGCCGCCACCACCACTTTGGCCCGGGCCCGGGCCCCGGCCCCGCCCCGGGCTCCTGCCCCCTGCCCGGCCGGGCGATGAAGTGTCACTACGAGGCGCTGGGGGTGCGGCGCGACGCCAGCGAGGAGGAGCTCAAGAAGGCCTATCGGAAGCTGGCCCTGAAATGGCACCCGGGTAACTACTCCGTAACCTCCGCGGCCCCTCTCCAAAGCCCGGCCTCGCCACCCTTTCCACCTGTCTCCCCGGAATAACTCCGGGAACCTGGCTGTGCCTCGACCTCCCTGCCCTGTAACTCCCCTCGCCCTGGAAACCACGCCCGGCCCCCGGTCCCCGGCCAGGTGGCCCCTGCGCAGCCCTCCCGATGAGCGTCCTCTCTCCGCCGCGGTGGACGCAGCCCTCCACCCCAAGGCTTCGCGCTAGCTCCGAGCACCCATCCCTTCCCTGACCCCCTACCCCGCCCCTTGCTTCCCGCATTGCCACTTGATGGGGAAAGACAGCATTCTAGCGACTTCACCTGCTCCTCCCACCCCTTCGCGCACACTACCGATTGGGGAGGAGTTGAGCTCTCAACCCAGTTCTTCCTCAGGCTTGTCCCTGGCTTGGGTCCCCTGCCGCTCCGCTTCTCTGGGTGTTTCCTCTGCTGCCCTTAACTTCATCACGGAATCCCAGCTACTTAGGTGTAATTTATGGCTCCTTCCTTATTGAGATTACGACAAAGGAGTTAGTAAAATGTCTTTTAAATAGCTGTGCCTTTTTTTTTCTTTTAATAGACTGTTTGAGCAGACCCTGTACTTCGGATTTTCCGCAGATGAAGAGTTTTAATTGGGTGTCTTCTCCAGTGAAGTTTCTATGTTTACTTAGAGCGGTGCTTCCTTTGGATGTTTTCTTTGGTTGTGGCCCAGGCCTGTGTGACTTCTCTGATGGAACCTGATCTTCCAGACTGGAAAACTAAGACAGTAGTTGAGTCTCAGCTTTTTGAGGTTTATAAAAGGCTTTCGCATTAGAACTGATCCATATGCGCTTTGTAGGGTCTCGAGTACGTGCAAGTCACTACTCTGTTAGATTTTGAAATGCTAGGACAGAGAGCTCAGAGTCTTGCTGAGAAACCACGTTGTACAGATGTGAAAAGTTAAATACAAGTGCAAACAAAATAGTATACATATGTAATTGGTAGTTGGATTAATAGAACAAGTAATAAATGCCCCAGGAGTTCAGGGGAAGGAATTTTCATGTGTGCTGAGAGGTATTGAGGCTTCCCCTTGACAGAGTAGCCAGCCTGGACTTTAGCTGGATTCTAGAGGAATGGCATTGGGAAGAGTGAACTTAACAATATGGGGTGAGCACTGTGATGGACAAGAGGTGGTTAGGGGATGGTTTAGCTGAAGACAGTGTTTATTGGAAGTCTGGAAATAGGGATTGGGAGAAGAGCTGGAGGAAATGCCTGGGACCCAAAGTCAGAAGGTGATGTCTGCAGTTGATGGAACAAGAAGTAGAGGCCTGGGTTTGTTACTTACAAAGTTATAATGATTGCCAACAGAGGAACTAGGAAAATCTGATGTACCTTGGAAGGGAAGAGGTACAGGGAGCTAAAGGTTCATCTCAGCAGGAAGTCAGTAGCTATATCCAAAATTAATCCAAAAATAGTTAGAAGCATATTCTTAGAGTAAGAGGGGTTACCATTAGAAATCGAGTTAGGAATTAGAAGGAAGTTGGGAATTTGTTGACTCTGGGTGGAAAAGTGTGAGGAAGAGGATTAGTGCTTGTGACCAAATGGATGCGTAATTTTGATGACAATACTAACAAGTTTTTGAGTAGTAGCTTTGAGATTAGATTGTAAAGGGCCTTGAAGGTTAGGCTAAGGACTGTGAAATTTGTTTTTTCCGTAGTGGAGAGTTGAGGCTGGCTTTATTATTGGGGGAAGATACTATGAAGGCAACTGACTGGTTTCAAAAGGTGCGGAGACAGAAGTCAGGTAGAGTTCACCAGGGAAGGTAAGCCAGGCTTGGGGTCAGTGGGAGGGGTAAGGCTGGATTGAAGAGGTGTTGCAAAGGAAAAATGAGTGGATTTGGTGATTAATTGGAAATCAGTGCAAGGAAGAAAGGAAGAACTATGCAAATGATACTAAAACATCAGTTAACTACTTTGAAACCAAACCTGTTAGGAACTGATTGTTAATATCTTCACCGAATGTCATTATAATTTGTAGCTTCCTAATTATCTTTTGGTTTGAAAATGCCTATACATTTAAGGGATAAATACTTTCCCAGGAGAGACATGGTTTTGATGGGCTTTGCTGGCTCTGTAATTTAAGTCTTTCATTAAACAAATGTTTAATTTCCCTCTACGTGCAAGGTACTGTGTTAGATGTTTCTGAGGTTAACATATGGGCTTTGCTTCAAAGAATAATACATACCTCAAATAGAAAGGCTGCCTGTTTCATTGTTAAAAAAAAAAAAAGGGAATGACCTTTCTTTTGTTGAGGAAATGAGCGTATTTTCAGTAGGGCCAACAGTACTGCCTAGTGCGATCACTCCTTGTGAAGGGCAGGCTTTCAATAATTCATCTGATGAATATTCCCTGAGCTCTTCCCTGTGTGAATGAGACAGGATTGGTCCCTCCTCTGCTGGCACGTACAGTCTTTGGGGAGACAGAGGGGAAAACAGGCAATTTCAATCCGGTGAACTCCGGTATGAGGGCAAATACAAGGTGCTTATGGGCACATGCATCTAGCTTGGACTGTGTGTATGTGTGGGTGGGATAGATGTGTGTCCCTAAAGAAGTGATGTCTGGATCCAGACCTAAAGCAGGAACGCAGGGAATACATGTGGAGGGAGGCAGGAGAAAGCATGGTAGAGTCCAGGAAGGGGAAAGAGGTGAGCATGGCCAGATCAGCAGGGGCCGGGTCTTGAAGGTGTGGTAACCTGGATTAGGTAGGGTGGATTTTAACCTAAGGGCATTGAGAAGCCATTGAAGAGTTAGAAGCAGGGGAAATGATAGGTTTGTGTTTTTTGCAAATCTCTCTGGCTGTGGTGGGGAGAATGGATTGGAGCAGGTGAGACCGGAGGTAGGGAGCCCAGGAGGTCAAGGTACATTGAAGTCACCCAGAATGATGATAGGACCTGGGGATGGAAACTGAGCCAAGTGCCAGAATTCTCAGTGTGAGTAAAGAGGAGTAGCTGGGCGGTGAATAGACAGAGAGAAGGAGGAGAAGAAGATGGGATTGCCAAATGGTCTGGAAGGATTGCTGGTTTGTCGTCGGGGGGTGAGTAAAGGATCAGTGACCAGGAGGATGCCAGCTCCAGCACCAGACCTGCCGGATGAGGGCTGTGGCTGGAGGGAACCACGTTCTCAGGGAGCCTGGCATCACTGAAGGCGGGGCTTAAAAGATATCCATGAAATTTTGCAGAAGGCACTGGAAAAAGGTTTGGAGGGAGTGGAAAAGGGCGTGAGTGGATCAAGAGAAAAGCACAAAGAACAGTGTGAGAATGCCTTTTAAACTTTGATGACTGGATTTGCAATGTGAGAAGCTTGTGGCTTTTGCATTTGGCTAATAAATGTGGGCTTTCCATGTTTTTTATCATTGCTTATTTTAACTTATTGCACTCATGCTTCTAGATCTCAGTTCAACCTTATAGTCAACCAGTTCAGATATATTTAAGTGAAATAAAAAGCCGTATGACAGATTGGAAAAATTATTTAAGAAAGAAGCTTCAGGGGCTGGCCCCGTGGCTGAGTGGTTAGGTTCGTACTCTGCGCTGCAGGCGGCCCAGTGTTTCATTGGTTTGAATCCTGGGCGCGAACATGGCATTGCTCATCAAACCACGCTGAGGCAGCATCCCACATACCACAACTAGCGGGACCCACAACGAAGAATATACAACTATGTACCGGGGGGCTTTGGGGAGAAAAAGGGAAAAATAAAATCTTTAAAAAAAAAAAAAAAAGAAAGAAGCTTCAGTAGGAGAGTAGATCTTAGGGCCGGCCTGGTGGCGCAGTGGTTAAGTTCGCACGTTCTGCTTTGACGGCCCGGGGTTTGCTGGTTCGCATCCCGGGTGCAGACATGGCACCACTTGGCAAGCCATGCTGTGGTAGGCATCCCACATATAAAGTAGAGGAAGATGGGCACGGATGTTAGCTCAGGGCCAGTCTGCCTCAGCAAAAAGAGGAGGATTGGCAGTAGTTAGCTCAGGGCTAATCTTCCTCAAAAAACAAAAGAGTAGATCTTATTTTCAGATGATACGTTGATGTGTTTTATGTGTTTAAAATTTTTAACTTTCTCCAAACTTCCTTGGGGTAGGAAAGGAGGAGTGGGAAGAAACAGGACAACAGAGTGCAGTACTGATTAAAGGTTGAAGAAGAACCACCCACCTACCACCCCAAACCTCACCTTTTTTGTTTTATGTGTGAATATTTATTTGCTGACATTTCCTGCCATTCCGCTTTAATTTGAACTCTGCTTTTTTATTTATCTGACAAAAATTTTATTAATGATTTGATGAAGGTGTGGAAATTGTCACTCTTTTTAGCTGGATTCTCACCTTGAAGATGTCATAGGATTGTGTTCAGCTGCATGTGACAAGAAGCTGGCTATGGTAGCTAAACTAAATAGTCATTTTCTTTTTTCCTACATAACGACATCCAGAGGTGGCCCATCTTGGGAGCTCCAGCTGCTTGATGAAACCATCAAAGACCTGCTCCATCACCCTGACCGTCAG